GACGCTGGGACCTTGTGAGAACATAAACAATTCTGCAAAATATTACCAAATAATGTAACATATTTGTCTGTCACTAACAGACATGTATGCAGATGGTAGTTATTTGGGTAAAACCTGCAAAATCAGTAGAATGAAACAAATTGTGTTAATCTGAGACTGATGTACTATTTTGGAAGAAGAGTTGTGACTGCTATAGAGTCAAGCTTGTTCTTTTCAGACAGTAGCAGTGTGATAAGAGCTGCATGGCTGAAATAATTCTGTAGCTTTTATGTGTTTTGAGATAAAAGAAAAGAGTTAAAGTTGATTTGTATAGTTCAATATCTTACAAAAGCAGGTCAAAGTGACGGACCAGTAGAGAAAAGGGGTAGAGCATAAATAAAGACAGACAGCGTGCACACATGAACACCTGTACTAACACACACCCATATACACGTGCACAAAACCAGTTAATGTAAAACGAATGAAAAGCTAAATTAAGCAGTAACGTTTTAAGCTTATTTTCAAAATAAGAGTGTTGGTGAAACCTCAGTTCAGCAGCTAGGATGTTCTGTGTTCAGCTACATTAGAGCCTTATCAACACAACAGTCTATCATGGTAACGATGATGGTAGCAGAACTTGTACAGGTATGAACTAGAATTAGATTTGAAGTGATTATACAATGCCTGATAGTTAGCCAGCTGATAACATGGCTGTATTCTTAGTCATAGGTAATTTGACCAGTTGTTATTTGCAGGGGGAGCCTTTACTGCAGTCACTGATCTCCTTCAGTAATGTACAGTATGCAGTACACACAGTACACACTCACTTCAGGACAGTGTTTACCACCGTCGTAGTTGTTATACCACGTCAGTCATTTCTGGGATCAACTGAAGAAGCTGCTCGATGATGAGTTCAGTAAAAGGCAGGATCGTCAGTTAAGATCAAGTGACAAGTGGGAGAAGACAAATGTAAGGCTTCAGTTAACTTCAGCTGAGGTGCTCGTCAGATCATCAAACAGCGTCTGAAACCTCCGACCCCCACACCCTGTCAGGCTTTGTCCATCTGAAACCTACAGTGCGACAATGATTGGCCTGGGGTGTGGAGGTGAGAAAGTGTCAGATTTACTATGATGTTCTCTGATTTTCTAAAGTCATCTTCTCATCTCTGATGTCAGTTGATAGATGAGCAGGTCCTGTGTGTTCATGGTGGTCTTTCACCTGACATCAAGACTTTGGACCAGATCCGCACCATTGAACGCAACCAGGAGATTCCCCACAAGGGGGCCTTCTGTGATCTTGTGTGGTCAGACCCAGAGGATGTGGACACCTGGGCCATCAGTCCACGAGGTGCCGGCTGGCTGTTTGGCTCCAAAGTCACTAATGAGGTAAAACGTCTGAAAATAACACATGGAAAACAAAAACAATCAGCCATCACACTTGAACATATGAAAGTAATTCTCATATCTCTGATGTTTTAGTTTGTTCACATCAACAACCTGAAGCTCATCTGCCGCGCACATCAGCTGGTCCACGAAGGCTACAAGTTCATGTTCGATGAGAAGCTGGTGACCGTGTGGTCGGCGCCCAACTACTGCTACCGCTGCGGGAACATCGCGTCCATCATGGTCTTCAAGGACGTGAACAGACGAGAACCCAAGCTGTTCCGTGCCGTGCCCGACTCCGAGCGCGTTATACCTCCCCGAACGACCACACCCTACTTCCTCTAATGAGTCCCCTCCATTCTCTCTCTTCTCTCCACCTGAGAGAGCTCAACTCTCAGACGTACTTATATGCAACAGATTTTAAGAAGCATCCTGTTCAGGTGTCCAGCATCAGGCTACAGTCTGTCCCACGCCCACTTCGTTCTGTCAGAGAGGAAAAACTCCTCCTCCACCCCAACAACAAAATTCTACTTTTACATTTCTTGATATTTTAGATTTACATATTTTAGATTTACATGATAAGAAAATGTTTTGATGTTGTGTATCCCACTGAAGCAAATAAAACATTTAAACTAAGTGGTGCCAATAATACATGTTGAAATAAATATATTTCTTAAAATATGACTGTAGCAGCTTGATCTCATGCTTGTCTTCTCCTCTGTGTGATCAGTTCTTGAATTAGGACGTAGACTGTTGTTGTTAAGTCGTCCTCAGACGCACACTATATAAACAGCCGCTGAGCCCATCCCACAGCATCCCGCCTTAAATGCTGGTTTCATTTTTAAATGTAATTGTCTTTTTAATTTATTGTTTCTAAAGGGTCCTGTCTTATTGCAGATGCTGTGTAAATTTTATGGCAAACATCCACAAGTGTCCGTCTCAACATCATCTCGTCACTGTGTCTGTAGTCTGATGAATTGTTGATGCAACAGTGGCTTTTATAGAAACTATCATTTAAAATTGGAAATAAACTTTACAGTGCAGGTGCATTTTCTTGAAGAGCTCAGCTCCGTAGTTGCATTTGTAGCAGAGAATGTCTCTTTGATGTTCCTCATTTTTGTAATTTGAATAAAACATTATTCATTAAATCTTGTGAACAGTCCCTTGACTCTTGAGTTGGTTGGGTTTTTCACACAACCACAGCCTGACCTGTTTGACACTGAGCAGCTCCACTTGCTCATGGGCACCTCAGCGGAGGTAATGACTCAGAGGCAAGTTCAGTTTTATTACCAGCAAGACAGATTTATTAAATTCTTAATTAAAGTAATATCAACATTTTATTAAGCAACAATATCTTTATTTGACTAATTGAACAAGTGTGTTATTGAAAGGCTAAGACTCATGATCTTTTTACATTTAACAACATACACAGAAAAAACATTTAACAACAACACAGATAAAAAAAAGACATGATTGCCATGAGAATAAATGATTATAAGATTAACATTAGAGGAGCAACTTGATTTTTAAAATAACAAAGGCTGTTTTTAATAATCCAAAAAATGTCATGGATTTAAGGTGTAATGTTAAATTATTCCATTTAAAAGGAGCCTCAAAACAGAAAGCTTAAAAACACATCTGTGCAGACTGAAGATACAGAGAGACAAAGCTGGCCACTGTCTTCATTAATACATTGAGTTATGTGACTGTAAAAACTGTTTTTAAATTGGGTAATTAAAACATGCATTTATAAATGAATATGAACCAGTGAAATGTTTCACTGGCATTTAAAGAGCCTCTTACAAAGATGGGTGTGCAAGATAAACTGTAAATCCAACACAGGCAGCAGGAACTGGATGAACCAACACCCACTAAGAATGAAAATCAAAAAAGTGACTTAAATGTCTTATATAAACCTTTAGCAAGTTAAATACTATCTCTTGCTTTTATGAATAACAGAACAAAGGGAAATGACCAATATCAAAATAACTAAAAGGATAACAGAGTTAAAGGACTACATTATTGCTGCAAATTCCCCCACTTCGTTTGAAGGATGGGAAATCTTTCTGCTTAGAATTTATGAATGAATAAATGAATGAATTAATGAATTAATGAATGAATTAACAGTTAGTGCTAGGCTACTTATAAAACAGCACTAGAAGAGTTTGTTCTTTTTTTTTTTTTTTTTTTTTTTTTTTTTATGGACATAGTGGCTAAAAGTAGTTTTTTGGTGACCTTCGGTATAGTTATTATAATTCTCAACGGCCTTGCCCATCGTATTTATCTGATCTTTTAACTGTCCGAAATCCTGGTAGACCTCTGAGGTCAACAATTCAACTTTAGCTGGAAGTGCCCAGATCAAAATACAAACACTGGGGTGACCGAGCCTTTTCTGTTGCTGCCCCTAGGCTCTGGAATAAGCTCCCCACCGAGATCCGTCTTATTTCTGACCTGGGCCTCTTCAAATCTAGGCTAAAAACCCACCTATTTAGGATGGCCTTTAATACCCAGTAGTATGATAACACTTTTATTTTATCTTATCTTAATCGATTTTGTTGTATTTTATTGCTCTCATTGTTCTTTTATTATTTTTTAAATTGTTTTTCACTTATTTATCTCTTCACTTATTACCTGTTGTAAAGCACTTTGGTATGCCGAAAGGATTGTTGTAAAGGGCTGTATAAATAAAGTACATTTACATTTACATTTTCATTTACATTTATAATTATAATTATTATTATTATTAATAATAATAATTAATTTATTTAATTAAATTATTATGATGCTGATGATGATGATGATGATGAAGGTGATGATGATGATGATGATGATGATGATGATGATGATGATGACTATTTTTTTTTATTAATCAAAGGAAAAGTACAGTAATTCAGGTAATACAACAGCACATAACTCAGAACTTATATGACATAAGTACAACAGGTGAACACCAAAGGAATGAAAATGTAAAAAGTTAAATTCCTTTAAAAGGGAAAAAAACAAAACACAGGAGTACATAAATACACAAATATTTACTTATTCAGTTGAAGGTAATAGGGGAAAAGTTTTCATAATTTTCCAAAGCATATTGCTGTTTCTGTTGTTTAATAAACTGAGTGACTTGGGTAGAGAATTCAGGTCTAGGAGAAAAGTTTAGGAGTTGATTTGGCAAATTAATAGTGGATGGAAAAAATTGTATTTAGAATTATGAAGTTAAGTGGATATTCAAGAGCGCCATCATTTGGATTAGCATAGTAACAAATAATATCTTTAAGGTTTAAGGAGTAGAGAGTTAGCAGCTTCAAAAAGTGAGACTCGAGATGTCTCCAAAACTTCTGGGATATTTCACGCTCAAAAAATAGGTGAGGAATTGTTTCTAAATCATGTTTACAAAAGGTACATTCATGAATTTGTGACGATGAACAGGACTGACCCCCCGTTACGTACTATGGTTACGTACTGTATTTAGGAAAGCTTCAGTGGGAAAGCTTTTATTTTGAAAATGTTGACCCGGAAGTAGCTAGCCAGTTGTACTGGAGCGGAGCCAGCGGCTGTCCTCACCCTGCCTCCTCCCGCCTCCCCGCCTGTCACTGAACAACAAGCCTTCACAGAGTATCACTGAGGCTCCGGCACCATAGTCCCGTCACAGACACACTCTGAGATGCCAAGAAAGTCGCGCCTCACCGACACAGCTCTTCGAGTCGTCAGCGCTGATCAGTGAGCAGCAGCGTCTCCGTGGCGCTCCCGTTCATCGACGTTAGCCGGAGAGGTAAGAGGGGATGCGGGTTAGAGCCGCTGCAGCCGGGTCTGTATTACCTGACTCATGTTAGCTTACTGCTGGTTATCTTTGTTATCCGGACATTATTCCCCAGATGTGGAGACGTTAATGCAGCGGTGTCCTGACTTCACTTTGACCATGTTAACGTTAACACACAGCTATAGCTATGTTACAGCTTACGGCCCATTTAAGCTTGTCTCATTAGTGGCTAGTTAGGTAGATTAATGTCAACCGATAAGCATTAGGTTACATTACAGCTGTGTTATAATATTGGTAATTGGTGTCAAACAGAACACCAATAATCGGCAGCTACCCGTGACGGAGTCCTCGTGGGTTTATGTGTCTGTAGAGGTGTTCTTCACATCTACTTCATGTATTTGTTTTATCTTGTGGCTCGTTAATGTTAAAGGTTTTATTCTCTAATCACTGCGTCCGGACACGTCTTTTCATTGTCACGTTAGAGGCCTTTCAGAAACTGAATGAATGAGAGCTGTCGGCTGTCTGAAGACAAATATTCAACACAATATCAGAATATTCTGTCGGATCAGATCAATACAAGTGTTTGTTACTGAGATGTACTGTATATCAGCCAGGAAGGTGTTTACCACCCTCATGATACCAACCATGGACTAAGCTGAGATGGTACAGCTGAGGTTATCCTGCAGTCTGTCTCTGGCATCACTGACAGCTTCCCTCCATCCACACAGACACACACACACACACACACACACACACACACACACACACACACACACACACACACACACAGACAGTGGCTGTGATGCTGTAAATCAGTAATTTCAATGGCAGAATAAAGTTTTCAAATGATTGTAATCAGGCTCCAGCTGAACACTGTGACCTGACTGTGCTGTGTGCTCGCTGTCTTGACCTGATTGCACATTCGTCTCAGCAAACCGGAGGTTGGAGCCACTATGAGAATGAAATCTGGGACAGCCCAGGTCAACCTAAAAAAGGTGACCATGTGACGCATTTCCTCCATAGTTTCTTATTTCTATTCATATTTAAGTAGGGCACCTGTAAGACATCTGCAGCAGCTCTGTGTGTTCGGTGGATCGCACCATGTTAGTTCTTTTTCCTTGTTCACATGTATTTCTTGGTAGTTTAATTATAAACCCATATTGATATAAAGTGTTAACTAGGCAGTATTTTTATGATATTGTTTCTCATTCCATTTATTTGTTTTCAGGTGTGAAAAGTCAGTGTCATGACTGGAGCTGAGACTGAGGATGATATTCCATTAGGTGAAAGGAAGACTGTCACAGACTTCTGCTATCTCCTGGACAAGTCCAAACAACTCTTCAATGGGCTAAGGTCAGTTTCTACTTACTCTGTCTGCTGGAGTGTATGTTGTAATCACGCAGATACTTCCAGGGACTTCCTGTTGGAAATACATGCAGTACACAGAAATTATATGAAAAGAATCCAGTCCAGTATCTTTAGAAGGTATGTTCATATTTGGGCAGTTCAGCCAATTCATGATGTGCTTCCAGCGCTAATACAGGAAATAGTGTTCCTTTTATGGAACATTGAGGAGGTTAAGGTGGAAATTGAGTGTGTTGTGTAAAAAAAAACACAAAAATGTAACCACTGGTGATGCATCGATCTCATGTGCCGAATCGGTTTGGGTGCTGACCCTGAGCTCTTTAAGCAGCTCAGGTATCGGCCATGATGTGACTAATCCACATTAAATACAGTTTCTTTGTCAGTGTCATTATACAGTTCATCCCTATTAAGGAGTGGTGGTGCAGTGATTAGCATTGTCATCTCACAGTAAGAAGGCTCTGGGTTGGAAGCTGCGGGCTGGCTGGAGCCTTTCTGTGTTGGTGGGTTTCCTCTGGGTGTGGCGTGAATGTGAGTGTGAATGGTTGTTTGTCTCTGTATGTCAGTCCTGTGATAGACATGCGACTTGTCCAAAAAGGATAAGTGGTATGGCTAATGGATGAATTAATTTATATTTGGTATGTTCATTCAGATTAAACTGTGAGCTCTACTGGTTTGCCTTGAGTTGAAGTGTTAAAATATTTGTGTTTTTTGCAACTTTATTTTTTATCATTATTATTGACATTATCAGGCATCAAGAAGGGGTTGACATTATACCCATACAGTAAAGGGTCTGACAGTGATATAGGTCTTAGCCTGGATTTCCCATATATCATTCCAATCACCTTCTTCATTATGTGAAACATGGTGCCATCATCAGCAAAAAGTAATGGAACATAGATGAAGATGCTGTTACCAAGTCATTAATGTGTATGAGGAACAAAGGTGGTCCAAGAATGGAACCTTGTGGGACACCACTAGTAATTTGTGACCTGTTAGAAATCCATACATTAACATTTACAAGTTATTTTTGACTGGTGATATAATTCGGGAGCCATTCGGAGGTCCATCTATTAAATCCATAATATGACAACTGACAAATTGTAAAATACACTTAAGGCATATTCATTATTTGTGTGTTTTGCTATTGCTACATAGCTAACATTAGCATTAACGGCTGTCTAATTTCCAGTCTAGAATAAACAGCGTCTCCAACAGCTGTCTCCAGAGGTGGAAAGTAACCGTGGATTTTTAATATATAGTACATGTCATTTGTTCTTTTTGATGACTGATAACTCTCATCTTAACTCCTTGTATTTTTTTTAGTTAAAATATCTTTAATTTAAGTTTGGCACAGTAAGTATGTATCAGCCAGTTAATCAGCTGTCAGCTTTGTCCTGCTCCAAACTATTGTTATTATATTGGCCTTTAAAAACCATTATCAGTGGACTGTTAGCATAAACCTACGTGTATTTTTTGTAATCAGTTAAAGCACCAGTTCTGACATTTTCCCCAATAAAATATCATGAAAATTTGATGATAAAAAAAAAAAATCCATCCAACAGAATTTAATCTCCCTTCTTTATTGACTTATAGGCAAAACTGTTAATAAAAATGAGCATTTATGTAACATGAGCACCATGTCTACATGGTGAACATGAACTGAGTCCTCTGACTATTTATGGCTGCTCTGACTACTTTCCTGCTGTGGAAATGAAAAGCTTTTTTCTAGTGATTATGTAATTGAAACAATTATCAGATGAGTGTCACTGACCTAATTACAACCATATATAGGATAACTGTTATTGGTTGTAGACTGATTGGTGTTCCACTGTCACAGTTATACACTGCCATCTCAAATCTTATTGGCTTGGTATTTTCGACAGTAACATCGATACAGTAATATTTCCATCATTCAAGCTATTCTGTTGGTGGAGTCATATCCACTGTCACCACCTTGAGTCTTGAATAATGTCCATTGTTTGAATCTGTGGATGTTTGATGCATCATTTGTGATATTTCACTGTCTAAGGTTTCCTTAAGAGTTTTTGACTTTTAGTGATATAATGGAGCTATTTTTCTGCGTGGGTCCCCCCTGTTTATCCCTGTGCATGAGGAGTCACATGCACATGTGCACGGATGACGCTATCAACAATCCCACCAATGATGGCACACTATTCCACTTCCCATCAGGGGGTGGTAACACGCCAAGATGTGCAGCAGAGCTCTGACAAAGGCAGAGAAGAAGACTTGTAGGTCATAGACATGGATTTAAAATCTCACAAAATCAGCTTTGCAAACGTTTTATGAGGAACGAAATGCACCCTGTGTATTTGTTAGATGTCAAAGACGCACACAATTCATTCTGCTAAACAGTGTTGAATGTAAAATTAACTTTTGTCTGTTTACTAGAAGACTCCAAAGGATTTAAGCTCCCTCTCTTTAGTGTTTATCATTATTGATCAATCTATGATATAATGGCAAAAGTTTTCCTTCTTCTGGCTCAATTTGCTTGTATTATGAATTGGTTCACTATTAAGGCTTAGTCCCGACCACAGCACCCCGGGTTTGAGTACAACTAGCAGCCCTTTGCTGCATGTCATCCGCTCTCTCTCCCTGACTTTCCAGTCTCTCTCTCACTGGCTATCAGATAAAGGTAAAAAATGCCCCCAAAAATCTTTTATATTATGGGCTCAGTGTTTTTGTGTGTTGTGTGTTCAGTAGTAAACTTGAGTTTTGATAATGTTGTTTTTCTTCATTTGGAGTGAGTTTGCTCAGAATGCCATGGTTACTGTTGACAATGGTTCTAGCACAGAAAACAAATGAGAATGCAGCTAAAGAATGTCCCTCTGTGGAGCACAGAAGGGATGGTTTAACCTTGTCTGGTGCCTATGGAATACACCACACTTCAAACTGTATCAATGTTCTTATGCACCCTGGTTTCTAAGAAGGTGACCTGGATGCTCCTCTTACAGCAGGTTTTTATTTTTTAAAGTCAGGCCAGGGTCAGGTCCTCAGACTGACTCTCGATGTTTTTGTTGTGATACTGTTACAGTGACTATCACAATAAGCTCAGAGAGACTGTGGAGTGTGAACGGACAGACTGACCATCTGGAGTAGCAGGAGTTTTCCTGCTGAGTTTGTGAACCTGTCATGTGGTGGAGAGCCAAGCAGGACAGAAGTAAGAAAGGAAAAGGCCAGGCCCTTGAACTGGACTGATGGATGGATGAGAGAATGGTTTATTAGTTGGAGAGATTAGATCTCACTGCTCCCTGTGTGTTTTCACCATGTCACCTTGATTCTGGTGCATTCTGCTTGTTATGATCTGAGCTGAGTGACACACAGAGTTTGTACTGTATTAGTCACAGCTGACGCTATGTTCTCATCATGTTTGAATCACTCACTTGATCATCAGCCCAAAGGGTCCATTTTAAAGGGCTCACAGTTCACAGCCATGTGAAATGACTGAAAATATAAAAGACCACATTTATTGAATATTTTTCATACTTATCTCCTTTTTTACTCTGAACACTGGATTTCCATTTGAACCCAGGTGTCATAGCCAAACACTGTAGTGTCAACCTTCAATGAAAACATCCAGCTTGCTGTTTCATCTTCTCCTGTAGTAGTCATGTGACATGGAAACCATCTTTTCATCAATAAATGATTTAGTTACATAAGGAGGCTATTGGGCCAGAGGTCTTCAGAAGTACATGTATGGTATGAATTGATGTAAGGAAGTAGAACATAGGAAGGTAGGACGTTTTTTATTAGGGCAGGGTATCAAACCTGTATACTTTATGGACCAACCAAATTGGTTTGATTCTATCAGGGATCTTAAAATGCCCCAAATCACCTCAGTATGGATTGCCATTTAAATCAATATTAGATAAATAGATATATAAATATATAAATACAGCTATGAAATAAATCCTGAAATAAATAAATTAGGTAATAAATAAATAAATAGCTATACAAATAAAAAAATTAATTGCTAAATAACATGAAGAGTAAATTCAGTAACCACGCCTCCTCATTTGTATATAACACATGAAAGTAAAAAGAGCTGGGAAATAAATGTGGCATTTGGAAATAAAAGTCTCCGGAAATAAATAAATGTGGAATTATAAAATCAAAGTCCCCTGAAATAAATAAAAAGGTCATTATTGAAATAAGAAGCTATTAATTATTTGTATTCCTTTGTATATCTATTTATTTACTCAAATATATTTATATATATTCTATATTTATAAACCTAATTTATTTATTTCATAGCTGTATTTATTTATGTATGTGTTGATTTATTTTTTTTATGTTGATAATTTTTAGTATTTATTGTGGTTTGTGGATTGGATCAGGTGATTGACAGAAAATTATTGAACAATTTTGATAATCTGTTCATAGTTTGTTCAGACAGAACAAGATGTTTGAAGCATCATTCTGGGTTCTGTGGAACTGTGATGGGTATTTATTTATACTTTATCGATTAATCTTTAAAATAGTTCAATTATTCAAAACATTTATCAGTTGGAGTCTGAACATAATCCTGTTGAGATTAAATTCTCACATGGGGATCTTGTGGTTTTCATGACTAAATAAACTTTAGACCTTGTGTAGTTGTTGTGGAAACAACAACATATTTGTTTTAACACAAAGAAACCAGTTTGACTCAGAACAGATGTCGGCTGTTTTATGTCGCTACATGTTGATCGGGGTTGGGGTTTTCAGGACTGAGATGTATCAACGTTTCTTAACAGTGATCAATCTTTCCAGATTTTCCTCTGACAATTGCAAATCCTGACCGCTGTATACCAGGAAACCTCCTATACTGGAGTTTGTGTTGTGTTACTATGACAGTCAGCAGCTGCCAGCTGTCATCACCAGTCTCACCTGCATAACTGTATGTTTTACAAGGTTTTTTTTTTTATGGGAATTTAGATATTTGAAACCATAATATAAAAAATACAGTTAGTGTAGACATGGCTTTGTTTTTTGAATGCATTATGACAAAAAAATGTAAAATAAATCAACGTTAACTGATGTTGTGGCACCGTAGCTACAGCACCCACTTTGGTAACTACTGGTCCAAAAATCTATCTTTATATCAGTATTCAGCACAAGTGTGCATCAAATCTGTTGTATATGAAAACATGCACGGTTCTTTATGTTATTTTTAAATCATAGAACAGACAGACACAAAAATGTTGTTTATCAGTCCAATAAGCACCAATGATTCAACTGTGAACACTAACAACAGCAGATCCCCCCACCATGTCCCCTCATTCACTGAGCTCATGTGTAAAGTGTCAGAGAAAATTCCGAGATGTTTCAGATCCTGAGGAACTAAAGCACCACAAACAAATAGCTGTATTAAACTGTGTGAGTATTTAACTGTCTCTTTATTGCTCTGATTGTTTGCACTCAAAGATGTTGTGAATGTGACTTCTCCTTTCTCTCCTCCTTTGTTCTTCAGAGACCTTCCTCAGTATGGACACAAGCAGTGGCAATCCTACTTTGGACGGACTTTTGATGTCTACACTAAACTGTGGAAGTTTCAGCAGCAGCACAGGTTATTTCCATCTCTTATCCCACATTATGCCATTACTAGAGTTTGGTCGATTTCTGGTTTTGCCGTTTAAATCCGGTTTTGTGTTTTATGTGAACCAGCTGAATCAACGTGTCATTACGATCAGCAACCTATTATGTTTCTCAGCTCATTAACACAGAGACATATGTATTTATAGTAATAGGTAATCACTGCCACAGAGTCGTGTCTCTGATGTTTTGTCTCACTCAGGTTGATTTCTATCATTGTTTAGTGCTCAGTATTGTATTGTTTGTGTTTACTGACAGGCAGGTTCTGGACAGTCGGTATGGATTGAAGAGATGGCAGATTGGGGAAGTTGCATCCAAAATTGGACAGCTTTACTACCACTACTAGTAAGTCAAACCATGTCTCAACTACACTAAAAAATGGAACTAAAACAACAACAGCCACTTGACTTCTAGACAGATGAGTTAGAAGTGTTGTAAACATCTGTAGAAAGATCGCCTGTATCTACTAATGAGTGTTTTTTTAATCAAACCAGAAGACAACGTTAGTCTGCCATTAGCCTCTCAATGGATAAGTTCTGCCTGTTGACATTTTACTGCTTGTGTAGGAGCAATAAAACAGCAGCCATATAGATGAAAATGAAGGTTAGGACATATTAATGGTTATCCTAAAGTTAGGAGAGTTTATTTAAGATTTCATCACAGGGCTTAGGGGCCAGAATTACTGCACAGCTAATTGATTATACTTGTTCTAGGGGTGGGCGATATGACGATATTAGATCGTGAAGGATTACAACGTGAAGACGATCTTTCAAACTGCAGAGATCGTGGGATCGTCTAGGGCACATTCTATAAATTGCAGTTCTATGCTGATGCACCGACGCACCAGACGTATTGACGTCGTCAACCTGACCGACCAATCATAGCGAATTACGGGCAGTGATGCGCTTTCCTACCCGCCTCCTTGTTTGTGTGTGTAGCGGTAGCACATGGAGAGCGATGGCTGAAAGCCAAACGGAGTCGGTCGCTAAAAAAAATTCCACCTCCATTATATGGAATTGGTTTGGATTTTCCGCAACTGATCAAGCGCAAGCAATTTTTTCTCCAATTTAAGATCGTGATAAAATCGAAATCGTGATTTTATTTTTAAAAAATCGTGATATGATATTTTTGCCATATCGCCCACCCCTAACTTGTTCCCATTTTGAGTTTTGAGTTTCAGATACATCTAATGTATGTGATCGTAAAACAATATTTGTTAAATGCAGCAACACAGGGTGAAGAAAAATTTCCTAGAGGGGACAATAAAGTGTATTGTATATCGTATCGTAACATCATATTGTAATGCATAGTAACATATTGTATCGTAACATCACATATCATATTATAATGCATAGTAACACATTGTCACAAATCATAACATATTGTATCGTAACATATTGTATTGTATCATAACATGTTATAACGTATTGTATTGTAACATATCGTATTGTATCGCATGTATTTGTCTCTATCTCATACACATGCATGCAGACAATTGATTTCTGTGTGCAGCATTCTACTGTAGCTAATAATGAAAATTAGATTGAGTGAATGTGGAAAAATTATTTGGGCACAGTCTGAAGCTAGCAAAATGTTATTGGTAGCAAACAGCAATGTATGAAACGTTATGGTGGCAGCTTCATTTTGAGCTGCCACTGACCGTCACTATTACCAGTTAAAATTAAAAATGGCGGCTGTGGCAGTTGACAATAATTAACATTGAGTGACTTGATGGCACCTCAAAAGCAAACTTGTCTGTTGTCAGGTTTGTGTTGTGCGCTCTCTGTAGCCGCTGTCTGCTCTGTGCTAGGTCAGACATGTTTTGTAAGGGAAGAACCTCCACTCTCTCAACACCACTGCATGATCCGAGGGTTCCAACACCTCTAACAGAGAGAGGAGTCTTCTCTGCATTCTCCCAGTAAAACTTTCATTCATATCACATCAATAGTTAAAGTTTATAGACTCAACCATTATAACCAGGACCTTCAGTATTTGGATCAAGAAACTTTGAAACTAGAGAAACTAGAATTAAGCAGGCTACAGCTATTTCACTTATTTCAATGTGTCAGGTTTGTGAATTAATACTGTATGTAACCAATTTATAGATTTTCTGAAACGAATCAAATTATTTCAAATTGTCTTTATTTGAAAATGTTCTCAGCTCCAGAGACAATAACACATTTTCTGTTTCACAGCCTTCGTACCTCAGAAACAAGTTACCTGAATGAGGCCTTTTCATTCTACTCAGCCATCCGCCAGCGATCCTACTATTTTCAGGTCAACAAAGAGGACAGGTGAGTTCCTCTAACTTTTTTTTTTTTCTTAAATATTTGTGAGCTGCAGTTTGTGGGATTGATGCATGTTAATAGTTTTTGGATGATGGGGCTGTATAACACAGAGGAATAAGATATATCACACTTTGGATATGCACACAATACTTGTTAGTAGGATACATTCACTAGTGGTTTGCGTCTCAACATGAAAAATATAGAATATAAGACTTATTATTTAAATTTCACAACCACAGACAGAGTGAACCATAAGGTGTAATCAGTAGCCTCAATGTACATGGCTTGAAATGTGCCCGTTCTTTAGTGTGGATTTGTTCTTACTATCTTCTCTTGTCTTTTATCAGGCCAGAATTAGTAGTGAAGAAGCTTCGGTATTATGCTCGCTACATAGTCGTCTGTTTACTGCTCAACAAGATGGACCTAGTCAAAGTTTTGGTGAAGGTATAGAAGCAATATTTTCTGACTACAGCATGAACAACCCTTCATAGCATTCATTTCAGTGTCTCACTGAGGTATATGGACACACTTGTACACTAAACTAATCTGATAGACCACCACCACACCCCATGTAAAAGTAGGAGGAATTTAATAGACCATGGGAAAGATTTCCCTGCACCTCAGCAGAGTCTTCAAACACTTTACTCACAGTCTCATGGAGACCTGGCGGAGGATGCGCCCTCTCTGCGGCAGCCTAGTACTTTTAGTATTCAGGGGTCAAGCCCACAGGGCAGGCTGCCCTGTGTGACTGAAGAAAGTAGGTCCTTGCGTGGTGGGAGGGGTCATGAACAGCCGCAGACAAGCTGCTTCCTCTCTGCCATTCAGTGAAGAGCGATTACATGTAGGTTCAGACGATTCCACCAAACCTTGGGGACTGGAGGTGAAGGAGATGCAGACGTTGTTAGGGTGTAATGGTGACAGGCGTCATGGTTTAGTATGTACCTTGGTTTTGTGGGAAAAACAAAAGACAAAAAATACGGCACTTTTTCAACAAATACTAAGATGCAGAACTATTCATTGAAAGGTGGACAAATGGAAAAATTAACTAATTACTGTTTAATTCTGTTTTAAGTCTTATTCGACAATCTTCAAGGATTGGTGGAGTCACACACTGTGGCACAGCTCCTGATTAATTTTCTTCTACCGGCCAAATGTTCATTCAGCAGCTTGACCAGTTTTACTGCCGTTAATAAGCAGCATTTTACCTTCAGTAAGATTCTGTCTTTGTCAATAATGTTATCAGCTCTCGCCAAGCTCCATATTTTCCTCTTCTTCTGTGTTTTATTTGAAGTGTTGATCCATAAGAAAATATATTTGTGGTTTAAAGAACCAAAAACCATCTCAATTTAGTTTTACATCTCTGTCAGCTTCTCTCTCCTGATTGGCTGACTCTATTCTGAGTGACATATGGCCAGGCCAACAACACAGATTATAGCCTGCTACTGTAGCTTGATAAAACTGACTGGTAACTGTAAATGGTGATGGTCAGTCAGCGCTGAAATGCCGCTGAGGTGCAGAAGGGGAGGTTGGGGTTGGACCTGAAGGGCACCTTGGCTAAAGTCTGCACTGTAGTAATCAGAAAGTCTGTGGTTTGATCCCCAGCTCCTCCAGGCCTAGGGTAACTCACTGAAAAAACTACAATGAAGCTGGTGGCGTTGGCTCACTGAACATCTGATGTGGAGTGAAACTTTAAACACAGGTCCCAGAAGCTGTTCCAACTATTTCATTTGTTACTATTAAAGACGTTTAGGTCGAAAGTTATTTTTTTTATTTTTTTGGATGATTTTTTTCCATACATAAAGTAATACATAAAGTTAATGAATACAATTACATCAGAACTTAAAATGTAATAAACTTAAGTAAATCAAGCTGACATTCCTTCCACTTACTTCATTTATGCTTCCACCATCTCTCTCTTCACTCTCAGGGTATTAAATATAGGAATCTAATGAAACACAATACAAATAGACTTTCAAACAAAGGCCATGCCACAATAAAAGGCTAACCAAATAACCGATATAATATTAACCAAATAAAATAACCTAAGGTTTGAAAAGTCCATTCTTTAACTCACGGTGGTTCTCTCTTCTCTTTGTTCTCAGTGGTTTGGAGGGAAAGGGCTTGGCAGACAGAAGGGTGGGGTTATATAACTTCCTGGGTGTGGTTAGTAGGATGACAGGTGATCTTAGGTGAGGCGGGGTATTACTGACTGGTGATTGAACATTTACTGAACCCCAAACCCCACATTGATGACGTGTCATTGGTGTGAGTGAGTGTGTTAGAGAAGCTGTTTGAATATGTGTGTGGATGGGTGAATGTAAGACTATAAAAGCACTATAGAAATCCAGTCCTTTGGTAGTTCATGTAGCTGCAAAGCGTCATCGACAGGGTTCTCTGAGACAAATATGCCCTTGGAACAACTTGAAAATAAATATCCTGGCCCAGGTAGAAGACCTGAGCATCTTCTAGAAGCTCCTCCCCCACTGTCCACACCTCCTCCTCATGAACCACCATGAGTCCTGCATGGGTCCAGTTTTGCTAATCTGCACCCGCCCCACACCCATAAAGTTTGGTACCAGAACCGACCTGTTACTGACCATTAACTCTAAATGAGCTCCTGATCTGAGCCTGTGACCTGTACCTGTAGTATTATTTAGAATTACACAGTCATTCACTCTACAACTCATCCAGGTTTAATTGCAATTAATCTGCTGTTTTGTGAAATGTTCAGCTGTGCGACACACTCGCTCACTCAACTCCTACACACACACACATACAATAGAAAACTGATTTTGTGGTAATCATGTGTCCATGTATCTAAAGTGACTCCCCACTGCTTTCAGATCTGATGCATTCACTCATTTACTTAAGGAATGATGGTGATATAGTGGCAACAGGTTTGTCACAGACATTCACAATTAAAAAATCACGTTGGCTAATCAGGCTTAAAAACTGTGCCTTTTTATTTTAATTTTTTTTTTTGGTTTATTTAACCCACTGCTCCCCTACATGGAGTTCATTCTTACCTGGATCTAAATTATTAAAAAGAATCTTTTTTACCCAACACATATGATCACCTGCAGGTACCTGATCTGGTGACGACTCAAGTAGATTCAACAAATTATTGTGAGAGTTGGTGGGGTTGTGGTGTCCCTGAGTGAGACATTGAAACTAATGCTCTGCATTTACAAACAAAACCTAAACTCTGAACACAGCTTCCACTCTTCATTCAGAATACTGGGGCCAGATGTCCGCCCTCATTATATCTATTTATATATTTCTAAATCTAGTAAAAGCCAAACTTTTGCAGTAGTGATTGTATTTGTAAATATACCTCACCACATCTCCTCCCCCCTGTCTGCAGGAGTTATCTGAGGAAATCGAAGATTACACACAGAGATTCAACACAGAGGATCAGCTGGAGTGGAACCTGGTTCTACAGGAAGTGGCAGCCTTTGTGGAGGTAAGCAGCCACACGTAACAGTGTTCAGCACTGATACAAATGTTTGGACCGACTCTGGCTCACTGGTTTTACTCTCCTTTGTTTGTGTGACACAGGCAGATCCAGTGGTCGTCCTGAATGACAACAACTCTGTGGTCGTCATCAGCAATCGGCTGCAGGAAGGAAGCGTTCCTCCACTGGAACAAGGCATGGTGGTTGGGCAGCTCGTCCTTGCAGATGCACTAATCATCGGCAACTGTAACAACCAGGTTTTAACCCACTAATTCTAATTCACAGTTCCTAATGACTCATACACATTAGTCTCACCGTTATCCGCCTCCATTATCTTTCTGCTATTTGTTTGTATTTCTTGAAACCAATCAGTGGTCTTGGGCTGTGCTGAGCCCAGGATGCAGCGACGGTGCCCTGGCAAAATACAGCCAGGAAGGAACATTTGTACGTAGGGAGACAATCCCTGTCATTAAAATGACTGATTCCCCACAAAAGAAGATGCCACAAAAAACAGTGAAAGACATATGTTGACTATATGATACGAGTTTAACTGGTAAAAAAAAAAAAAGACCAACATAATTTGATTATCGGTGCCATAGAGGTGAAACCTGCTTGTACTTAAGCTGCAGGAGCTCGCTGGACTCATTAAAACCACAGATGAGTTGCTAGCGGTATGTTATTAAACTGATATCACAGAAGCTTGTATGAAGAAGAACAGATCGGTACATCGGTCACTGCCCATGTCGCTGCCAGAGTAAAGAGTTGTGGCAAATCAACTCCGACTGGTGACGTCTGTGTCAGGCTCAGAGTCCTGTGAGACGGAGTCTGGGCTTTTCTTTGCTGCATTCACAAGGTTTTGATCCTGCAACTGTAGTGAAATCAGATATATTGGCTAAATATAAGACATGCCATTGATAATTAAACAAAGGTTTATGAATAGCTAATCTATACAGGAGTTTCTTCAATGACAACTTGCCCATGTAGCTACATTTACCACCAAAACAAAGCCTGATGCTTTTCAGAGACGTATTCATGTGGCTGTCTAGATTTATGATGGTTAGGCCAGGAACACACTGGAATGCGTGGCGGCTGCGGAACATCTTGTTTTTCATTTTGGCGCCCATGTTCACAGGTTAGAGTGGACACGCTGCACATCTCACACCCTGCGGCTGCGTTGTGTGATCTAGAGATTCGCCGTCTCGTCCATTTGTCGTGCGTGATGCGTCTCCCAGCAGAAACAGACGGAGAAAAGACCTGTTGAGGTCGTATTGACATCATATCAGCAACATCACATAAAAGTGACTCCTTCCAATCTAGTTATCTATGTCTTGGCTGAATCTGAAAATGGCACAGACATGAAAAATATAAATTTCTAACCATTGTAGCAGCTGCATGTGGAGACAGAGACATTTTAGTGACGATTTCTGTCAAGTGTAAATCAGAAATGAATTAATAATGAAAAGAAATCCAACATTCCAGTAACCTGCAAACTCTGTGTAGAGAGAGAGAGCTGCAGCAACACAGCAGAGACGCAGCCGGTCTTAACACACACATCTGCTTCTCTGCAGCAGGTCAGTGACGTCGGCCATCGCATGTTAGGGTTTAGCCAACCTCTAACAAGTGACTGGGAAAGTGGTCTCAGACTTGTGGACCCTGCTGTACATGTAGAGATTTGAGAAGCAGCTAAACCTAGTCCTCATAAATGAGTGGCAGCTCGGAGGTTGTCTTCATTTCCCATTAGCGCTGGATATTTTGAAAAACATACAGATAGCAGAAGGGGAGGAGACTGCAGTGTGAAATATGCAGCCAGTGGCAAGTCTATACCCACAGTCTACACCTGGTGACTCAGACTACAAACATATCAACACAACTGTTGACCAGCCTGACTGAGGAAAACTTGTGACGTTAGCTTACACAAACAGTGTAAAAAGCTGTGTTACCCGAAAAACCGTGACACTATCATCCGCAATCTCGTGTCATGAGATTCATATTGGAAGACAGAACCGTGAACCAGGTTCTGCTCCACAAACTGTGGAGCCTCCTGTAGAGTCGGTGGGCCTGAAACAACCTGATGACCCCCTCAGATGAACACATTTGTTCTGAAGTTGCTCCACAAGGGATTGGAAGTGATTTAACAGAAGTTTTCACATTCACTAGTTTTTTTGGATTTAAAGTTTTCTAATATTTCAACATCAACTGAAATAAAAATAATAAAAATCTAAATTAATATTCTGTTCACCACATTAGAATACATCATGGCTGCCAGTTCACAGGATTGATTGATTGATTGATTGATTGATTGATTGATTGATTGATTGATTGATTGATTGATTGATTGATTGATTGATTGATTGATTGATTATTTTGGTTTGAATACTTGTACAGTCCTGTAGGTTCTAGAAAAATTCTCATACTCCAACACCCGTCCCAGGGGTCATATGCTTCTCGTTGTCCAGGGCAACATCCTCATCACACCTGACAGAGTAACATCACCCGTGTTTGAATGTATTCCGTCATCCGGCTTCATGACTGTCACATCCAATGGGCAGCTTCCCATTGAAGGTGCTCTGTGTGTTTGTGTTTACCTTCAGTGTCGCTCACCAAAACACACTGTGTGTCCTGAGACCTGACAGATGTGTTGAATGAATGAATGAATTTCTTTATGAAACATTTGTCAAGTCATTTCTCTTTCTTTGAGAATTTTGAAACCTGCATTGTTTACATCAACACTAGCAGTCTTCTTCTTCTCTGCCTTTATTGCTGCTTGTCTGACTTTCAGTCTGTAGATCAGAGGACTAGTGTGAAACCATTAGCATGACTGTGTGTTGTGTCTCCTGCATGTATGTGCATGTGCTGCACATCCTCGTTAGCATGCATGAGATGAAACAAAACAGAGGACCGTTCAGTTCTAACTTCTTATCAAATGATTCCCTTTTATTTCTGTCACGGTTCAGTTCCACGATGACCTGTTGTTGGCAGCTGTACTCATATTTTCTCTTCCTCTAATACGATGACTGACACTGATTTGTGACTTGAAGCTCCACTCTGAAATTCTTCTTCTTGGGTGACGTCTGAGGCTTGACCACAGATGGAGCTGAACAGGAAGCCTTGTGTAGAAGTTTGTGGCCATTGATTTAGAGATTTATGACGAAGTTAGAAAAGTTTATGATAAGAATACCAAAGTGGACCTGGTTCAGGAGGTGCTACTAAAATATCTGGAGTGAACTAAGCAGCTGACCTTAGTATCATCAGTAAAACCACTATTCTCTCCAGGGTCATTGACGTCTGTTGTTTTCCTCTCGTCTCAGGTGAAGTTCAGTGAGTTGACCATCGACATGTTCCGTATGCTTCAAGCTCTGGAGCGGGAACCTGTGAACCTGGCCACACAGACTTCCAAACAAGGAACGCTGGTGAGTGTGACGTTCATCAGGTCTGACTGTGGTCAACCTGTGGTTTCAGGTGACTTCAGGTTTTGACAGCATTCCTCCAGCAATCCTTTTTTTTTTTTTTTTTTTTACTCGGTCAAATAGATAGAATAGTCTCATATCACTCCCATACTCCCTTCCCTTCATTGGCTCCCTGTTACATACAGAATCCAGTTCAAAATTCTCACTCTCACATACAGAGCACTGCACCATCAAGCCCCTGCATGTTTAACTGATCTACCCCCCTTTTTTTTTCCTTCTGATTCACAGGTGTGTAAGTACACATATAAACACAGTGATTGTGTAAATGTATTATCATTTTGTGAACCAGTCTCATTTGGTAAATGTCAAATTTAAGAAATTAGGTTGTCAGATATTGAAAAAAAAATTGAGAAATGAATCCCAAATTGTATGAAAAAAAAAATGACTTATTTGTAGAAAGAAAGAAGAAAGACGTTCCTCTTGAAATAGGCAGAGATTAAACAACTTACTTTCATGAGTTCTTAGGGACAGTGCTTTGGGAAAAAAGACCAAGATTACATATCTCTGGGAGTACAGGGATATTTTTGTGGATTATGTGTAAATTATTTATTTCCAAAAATCCTGTATATATTTGCACCTCCACATGCAGTGGAATGGTGTACCTTTCTCTGCTCTACATTTTTTACAATTGTCCGGAATATTAGGATTGGAATATCCAAACAAATCAAAGTACAATGTAAATGAAAATTAAAAAGAAATCACATGATAAAAGCTTCTTTATAAAAATGTGTCGTAAGAAGTGAAGAAGAAAAAACTGAACTGAGTCAGAGAGTCTGATCTCCTCTGGCAGGTTGTTCCACAGTTCAGGGCCCTGACAGCAAAGGCCCCGTCTCCTTTGATTTTTAACCTAGACCTTAGACCGACCAGCAGTGAACTACCAGAGGATCTCACACTGTGTCCTGGATCATAAGGGGATAAAAGCTGGGGGGGGGGTCAGCCCAAACCTGACCTTAAAAGTCATGAGAAGAATTTTAAAATCAATCCTAAAATAAACAGGCAGCCAGTGTAGAGATGCTGAGTCCAGGGTGATGTGGACACATCGTTTGGACTGGGTTAGGAGCCGAGCTGCAGCATCTGGACTCAGTGTATAAAGAGAGAAGCGTCCAGCTTCTTCCTTCCTGTTATTTTTTGCTCAAATGAAATAAGGATGTATTTGCATCTAAAAATTCAGTGCAGAATATTCCCACCCAGTCAACAGCAAACATGTTGTATCTCTCTGAGGGCTAGTCTGTAGCAAACACCTGTATGTCGCCATGTTTGTCCTGTAACAGCAGCTCTGTCATTGAAGCTGCAACTGAGAGCTGTGTGAGACGCATCTCTTCCTGAAGAGTTGCATCACGCAGCTCTCAGTTCCAGTGGGTCGTCCACTACATGGAGGGTGGACATGGTTCGATTCCCGGCTCCTCCTGTCCACATTTTGGGCAAGATACAAGATAAATACCCCATCACCTAATAGAAGACTGGTCACAGTTACCATCATCATCATCATATATAGTAAGTAAACTTGGACTGAGATATGAAGAGTAATGATGTCAAATATTTCTCTACAGGAGCCCAGTGAGAAACCAGCCAAACGAGAAAACCCTCACAAGTATTTGCTGTACAAGCCGACGTTCAGCCAGCTGTTTACTTTCTTGTCTGCCTCTTTTAAGGTCAGTGGTTACTTTAATCTTAAGCTAATGTTTGTCATTAGACGTGAGGTTGTTGAGATGTGTCAGATTTACAGGATCTGTCATCCTCGGTGTGTGACACTGTTGATATTTAGATTCTCAGCTTTGTGCTGCTGTTTATTTGTTGTTTTCAGATTGAGGTTCTCTGACTGGGACATTTAAGTATTATCAGGGTCTGTGTTTATCAGCATCTCAGTCGCTCCTCGCGGCAGCTTGAACTCTAACTCGTCCTGATTCATTCAGCAAAGCAAAGTAGAAATTTTGACTGTGTGTTGGAGTTTTTCTTACAGTCACTGTTTAGTTTATTAGGCAGTAAGATAAAAAATGCCTAGGTATAGCAACATTTTTTATGTGTAGACTTTATCGCAGCTTGTTTTTAAATAACTTTTAAATAACAGTGAGGGCAGGGAAATGAATGAAGAGCTGCAGGAGTGATCAGACTTTGTCACTGATGAAACTAGGGAACGGTTGAAGTGATGGCTACGATATGCTATACATTCCAACGCATTGCCGTAGTCATGAAAATCCAAGACCGCTAAGCAACATTCAACTCTAACAATGGCTACTTCACTACTTCAGGACACCGAGGTGGCTCTGAATGTTGCTACAATATGTCTCTTAAAATGACCTGAGAGCTGAGACCATGAGAGCTCTAGATATTTGCTTTAGAGACAATTTGATAACAATGAGGAGTTTGTTTAAATCTGCTGTTACTTCAGCACCACAGACAGCGTCATGGTTTCATCAACACGCAGCACAGTGAGGTGGTGGGCTGGAGAGAGAGGATGGAGGTTAACAGCAGTTTTTGTTAACAAAAGGGTTAGCATCCCCCCACACACACACACAAAAACGCCTACTGGAACATGAGCTTGGCTCGCCTCTTACAGTGGTTGCTTCTCAGCATCTTGAGCGCTGCTGGCAGCAGCTGACATGTCTATGAATAAACTGGAAGAATCAGTCAAATTAGCAGCTATATTCAACAAATATACTCATAAGCCATAAAACTACTAACAGTATAATTGAATATAAACAAAATGACAGTGTCAAACATGATGGAAAAAAAGGAATAATTACCCACCAACTCTTTAACGTATCACAGGGTAAACTGGTCTTTCTCCTGTAGTAGACAGCAGGGCTGCAACAGTAGGAAGTGTCGACATAGAATCTACGTCATCGCATCACGCCGTAGCTGTCCTTTCAGCTGTCGCTGCTTAAAGTCCCCACTCCTGGCAGACCTGAATCATCACTGTGATGAAGCTACAGAACATTTCCTCTGTCGCTGTGAGGACGTCGGGTTTTATGGCGAAAGAATGATTTTTTTCTGTTTAAAGTTCATGTTTCTAACACAAGTCTCCTTAATTTTCTATATAATCTTTTTTTTTTTTTCCATTTCCAGGAATTACCTGCCAACAGCGTTCTGCTGGTTTACCTGTCAGCGACTGGAGTCTTTCCCACTGGTCATTCAGACTATGAAGGTAAAATTTCTTTCTTTGAAAATGTCTTCGCTGACATCATGTGTGATCTTCATGAGATTTTAAGGACTTTTGGAATTTCTTCCAAACTATTTTTGAATTTTTCCTGTTTCATTTAAGAAAACAAAAGATGTCTCCCCTTTTAGTGCAGATTTATGAAGCTTTATACTTGCCCTATTTTGTTTTAGATATGTAGTTAGTACAATGAGTAACTGTGATGCACCAAATCACAGATCCTAGAATATATGTAATACACACATTCGTACATCCAAAAGAAGGCCAAAATAGACTGAAAAACATTTGTAAGTTAGTCTCATGTCATGACAGAGGTCTGTATAACAAACCTCTTCATTAAAGTAGACATGAGACCCTGTTATTCCAGCTAAAGGTCTAAAACGGAGTTGACTGTGTTTCCTTCTTAATAAAACATTAGATTTTTTCCTAAAAGTTTGAAACCTGCACTGTTTTTATTCCATTGTGCTGCCTCTAAGGCTCCTGGGATATTCAGAATATCACCTCTGTGTCTGGAAGTTAGATAAAGCTTTTGTATCTGAACGTCTCCTGCAGGACCGTATGATTTTGGAGGAGTTCTAACTAACACAAATCGAGATGTGGTGAATGGAGAGACGGTGCAGAAGAGGAATCAAGCCCAGAAAGAAATGCACTGGTGAGAAACCACCTCTGCACTGTTCATTATTTCTGTCTGCCTCATGAATTCATCACGATGTCATCAAATGTTCCTTTTAGGAAAAATTCAAGTTGAGATTTTTCAGTACTTAAAATAAAGCAAAGGAAGTTTTCACAGGTTGTTGAAGCTTTGACAGTGAACACAACAGCTTCTCCCACATCCTGTGTTTAGTTACTAAAACCAGTGTTTTAGTTTATCTTGTTGTGACTAATGACAAGTAACATCTATTTGAGTCAGTGTGACGCCTGAGTGCTGCCCACGCTCTGATGATAACAAGCTCTCACCACAACCAGCTACCTGCACAACAGCTGACTAAAGATAGAAATGTAGGTTCCTGATATTTACTGGTTTGTAATGTTGCAGCCTTCATCCAGGAGACTTATTCCCCTTCACCCGGAAGCCGCTCTTTGTCATCGTGGATTCTTCAAATAGCACAGCCTACAAGGTACGAAGCAGGTCAAGTTGCCTAACAAACATCTACAGTCAAGGCCGTAAGTATGTGGACAGTTCTTCATCAGGCTCTGAGCTCCAGCACTCTCAGGCTGAAATAAAATAATGGAGACGACATTAAAGTGGCAGGTCCAAAGCTTGGGAGTTAAACAGTAACTGGACAGGAACACATGAAATCAAACATTAGCAGACTCTTTGCTCTCTCAGACCCTCACTGCAGATGTTGTGGGGTCTCTGCCTTTAGTCTGGTCTTCAGCAGGGTTAGGTGTTTGGTCAGGAGACTGACCCGACCTCGTGAGGAGAAGCTCTGGGATTGTTTTGGGGTTTGGCTGCTCCTGTTTTTCTCCACACTTTCCTTTTTCCATCATTTAGACATAGGTTGATTTTTGTTTCATCCGTCCATCGTTTCTTTGTTTCTTTTTATATATTTTGTTAATGTTGTTGAGATGAAAAGAAATACAGATATTTGGGGTTAAAACCTTGATGAATCCTGGCGTCATCTTTGGTATTTCAGCCGCTCTGTGGTGCTGTCCACAACCATCCAGGACATCATATGGTCTGACCCTCTCCTGAGGGTTTGGGAATGGAGCTCAGTAGTTTAATAGTGAATTGCAGGTGTAAATGGTTTGAGTTATTCTGTATTTCTAAAACAGGTGCTTATGGACAAACACACACACCACACAACACAGCTGTGCTTAATGTTTATCACGCTGTGGATGTGATGTTTGATTATTCATTTAGTATGAAGTGAAAGTAAACCCACGAAAAGGTTGTCATAAAATCTGGATTCACTTCACTTCACCAGTGTCACCAGTTCTCCCGTCTCCAAAACATTTGTCCCATTGACTGTAAATAAAGATGGACGTAGCCTCCATGACGTCACCCACAGGTTTTGAAGCTCGGAGTGAGCTGGCCCACCGTTGCCATCTTGGCAGTGTCTGACTCTGCCCCTAACTCCCATTTAATCCAAAAATGGTCAAAGAGGCGGGGCCTGTGGAGCTGAGACTTCCATGCATGCTGGTTAGTGGCAAGCATACACTCACCCACCTGTCACTCAAAGAGGCCACACCCTTAATTCTACATAACTTTAAGCCTTGATAAAATGTAAACCGGTGAGTTATATAAACAGTTGTCATGAGGGAGGAAATTAGCTCTAGAGACCAAAACTGTATTTTGTACCAGGCTGTAAACTTGTTTATTTCTGCTGTAAAGTTGGACATTTTAGAGTCGAACCACAGACAAAACATTAAATGGTAACAAGGAATAGACCCATATATTAATGCACTACTGTAAAAAAAACTGTCTACTGACAAAGTCTTAAATGCCAGGAGGGAGACCTGTCACAACTTCAACCTGCTCAAATTAAAGCTGAAACTTTAATGTCGTCTCCATTATTTTATTTCATGTTGAATCTGCTGAAGCTCTATAAGCTATGCTGAGCCTGAAGAAGAAAATGTGTAACTGTCTAAATATCGAATATGATGTGATGACAGTCACCAACCGTATATTCTCATAATTAACATGAGGTTTTTTTTTGTCCTAACAGAATTTCACAAATCTTTTTGGCCAGCCTCTGGTGTGTCTACTATCCCCTACAGTGTATCCCAAAAGTGTACAAGGTGTGTGTCACTCAGAACAACACTCAGGATGAATCTGGTGATGTTCTGTTTTCTGTTCGTCAACTAATTCCAGGAAAAGACCAAAACCAACCATGTATTTGTCTCTGAGACCAGAGTCATGTGACCTGGACCTGAGACAGACTAAATGTGATGATGTTAAACTGGTCTTAATCAAATCTTAAAAGACTTGTAACACCAGGGACTTCACCTGGACTTGGAGATGGAGGGATGGGACATGGGCGAGGAAGGACCCATTAGATTTAGGTGCAGATCCAGGGTTTTTTTAATCACTGTCCTCAACATTGTGACATTTTTCCACACTTTCATTGATTTTGCCTTGGAGGAGATCTGCTCCACTGAGAGCCATTCTAGTTTTGCCTTGCCTGTTGAAAGTAATGAAATAGAAAAAATAGAAACATTAATTTCTTTTTTATACTTATACTTTTATACTTATACTTATTTACTATATATATATATATATATATATATATATATATTATTTTATTTTTTTTTATTTTTTTTTATTTCATTTACTCACAAAATACAAACCAAGTTACATAATACTAATATTAAAGGTGCCCCTCAAACAATATCAGCCAAAAGTTCTGTTAATATGCTTGAACTTTGGCTGCACTCTTTTGTTACAACACAAATAGCATTCTGTGTTAATACAGCACTGACAGAAAACAAATCAAAACCATGACAGCCATAGCAACAGCAGTACAAATACTGAAGTACAACTCAACAAAAATAAAAATAACTCATAAAAAATAACCAATTTACTATTATTGTTTAACCTGTTTTGAATGGCAATAATTTGGTGAGTGGCTCATAATGACTTGTTTAGGACTTGGTCTTGACTCAGGACTTGAGTTGTGGCTTTGTAGTCTTTAAGCTAATGTCCTACTTTCCATATACGCAAGGACTGACGTGATGTAAATTTGGTCATCAGAGGTGAGGTTCTGTGTGGACGCTTTGTTGTGTCTGCTCCAGTCCTCGTGACCAGCTGTGCGTGCTCTCCTCCAATCGGACTAGAAGAAGTACAATAAGAACAACTACATGTCCGTGATGTCTGCAGCTGTAGGGAGCATAACTGAGACCTTAGGCTGTAAACCATGACTCTGTCCCACCTTGATCAAGACCTTTTGACTTTTCTACTCCGTGGCTGTCAGCTCAGAGTCCCCTGGTTCCTCCTGAAGACATTCATCTTAAAAAATATTTAGTTTCATTTTTTAGCTGGACACTAGTTTTTAACAAATGTTACTCAAACAGGAGGAAATAGGGCATTCTTCGGACTATTTTCAGGGGTGGATTAATCCACATCAGGTGCTCTGAGTATTTCTGGCAGCAGGTTAATGTGTTTGTTCATGGTAATGAAAGAAGGAAGTGCAAATGTGTGGTTCACTGATGTGTTGAAAAATGTTTGTTCATAGATTTATTTATTTGTAGGAGACATTTGATGTTGGTTTGGTCTCGTCATGGGCCTGTAGAATATCACCAGCCATGTGCTAAGTTATTTATCATCTGTCAATCTTTATCTCAGAGATGCTGTTATAATGATTTTCTGTCTGTGGTTTAAAAATGTCCAGTCTTTATATTTTATGATGTCCTCACATTGTATGTCTCTGACCTGTGCCCTGTCTCCTCTCACCTGTCCAGATCAGTCTCAGCGTGGGAGTCTCTTCACTCTCTTCCTCTACAGCCCGCTCCTGGCTTTCTCCTCTGTCTGTGGTTTAAACAGTGTGCGACGAGGTCTGTGGGACAGGGCTCAAGAATTTCTTCGCAAAGTCTACCGTGACATCGGGCAGATGATAACTCGATCAAGAACCATAGGTAACATGTCCGCCACCGATTCCGTCATGACTGCTAATATGTTAGGAAGATTGTACTCGAGGTGATGTTTGTTTGTTGTCAGAGCAACAATCCAAAATCAATTTACAATGATTTAAAAAAGAGACACGTTTGAGGAAATGTTTGGGATGTTTGCCTGATTTAATGACTCAGGTGATTAATGTATTATCAAATTGTTGCTGATCAGCTGATCGATGAATCGACCTCTCGGCTCAGCACTAATGTTGTTTTTACAGATCAAGCCTTTTTGCAATTCTTTGGTGACGAGTTCCTGCGACTTCTGCTGATCCGCTTCGTGTTCTGCTCCGCGGCTCTGAGGCTGCATAAACTGTTCCGGGTAAGTCACTGCTGCTGTGGTTCAGCTGGGAAAGGAGCCGGGTTTAAATGAGTGTCAACAGTGCAAGTAAGTCTGTATGTATGTATTGTTATTTTAAGACCCCGCCCCACCCCACTCTACCTCTGATTGGCTGCAACCCTGATATTCTTCTTTGGTGAAAAAAATAAATATAGCACGTCTGTCTTTGAGTGACATCACAACCTTAGAACATATTGGTTAATTCAAAATGAAAAGGGGCCGGCCCTTAAAGGCCCACACCTGACATCACTGGTGGAGGTAACTGCTCCACCACCTGTCTACTCTGTCCCCTGTAAGATCAGTGGTGGAAGAAGTATTCAGATCCTTCACTTAAGTAAAACTGCAGCACAGCAGTAAGTGAAAATAAATGCAAAAATAAAAGTAGTGTCAGCAGTAAAATGTAGTTAAAGTATTAAAGTCAAACTCCTGGTTTGGTTCTTCTGACTGATTTATTATTATTATGTACGACATCATTAGATTCAATAGATTAGATCTGAACATTTATTGACATGAAATCATGAAAAATCACTGTTTGGTGACTGGTGTCATCTTTGACACAGTGTTGTATTTTAAAAACTTGTTATTTTATAATCTTCATCTTAAAAGTAACAAGTCACTAAAGTTGTGAAATAAATGTAGTGGAGTAGAAAGAATGAAGTTGTATGAAATGGAAATTCTCAAGTGAAGTACAAGTACCTCATAATTGTACCGAGCAGTTAGTTGTTGGGTAAGATGTCTGATCCTGAACCAGCATCTTTGGCCACATCTGACTCTGAGCTAGGGTTGCCACTCTTCCCGATTTTCCCAGGATTATTCTCTTTTTTTTTAAGGAACTGTGCCAGAAAATTAATATTATTTCCCATTTTTTGTGAAATCTTCTCATTTAGAATTTCATAGTTTCAAATGAAACCTGTTTCCTTCTACTGCTTCTCTGTTTAATTCCTGGTTCTGTAAAATCTTGTGTCAGTAAACGTATGAAAACAGGTACAACAGTGCCCAATTTACCTTTTTACCTAGCAACTACTGGCCATCCACATCCATGACCTCATGAATTGGGAGACCTGATAGCTGAGGGGTTAGGGTGCACACCAAGTCAGCGCAGCTGCCCTGGGCAGCCAGTTCCTGGTTTGACTCCCGGCTGGCTGAACTCATTGCTGCATGACATTCCTCTGCTCCCCGCGGTTTCTGTCAATCTCTGTTGTCCTTGCAAATACAGGCAAAAAAACCCAGAAAAAACAACCCCACCGTGAATTCTCTGAACTACTACATACTACATACAAAAAGGCCTAAATATCTGCCTTCATCAGTGAGTGACTCGTCCAGATTCTGTGGCTCAGATCTGACAAAACGGCCAAAAAGGAAACACTTCAGATGTGCTGTAGCACCGAAATGAAAAATTTAGTCAGCCCATGTGAAAAGCCGGTCTGGAGCCCTGCAGGATCTCAGTACTCAGTCGTGTGGTCTTGAACACTTTAGTCACATTCATGGTCCATCAGGCTCGTAGGAAACCGTGTCCCACATCACACAACACACTCTACCCACACTTGTCCTAATACCACTTCAGAGCATCTATTCCCAGCTCAGTGCTTCCCACAATGCATCACTGCTGCACTCCACCAGCTGGTAATGGACCTGTACACTGGTCTGCAGATCATCATCACATCACATCATATCTCACTCCTGAGCTGAAGGAAAGAGACAAGAGAGCAGGTATTTCTCCTAAAGTCTGAGTGTGTCCTCCTCTAACTCACATGATTTATAAGAAGAAGAAGAACGGCCTGAATGATATTAATAGTTTGGTAGTTTCTAAAAAAAATAAGACTCACGTAAAGTAGAGATACTTGCAGTGCAGTCCTGATGTAGATGTACTTCGTTTCTGTCCTGAACACACTGAAACACAGAGCCGGTGTTTTAACATTTACACACTCTAGAGGCCGTTTAGGAAAAAGCTGTTTCAGTCTTGATGGAGGTCTGGAACCAAGAGAGAAAGATGTGTTTATAGATTTCACCACCTTGGTGTGTCCTTACTCTCAGTGTTCACTTATTAATAGTATTCCTTTAAAGCATGTGTGACTTTGTGTTTGCAGGAGTCCCGGAGCTTCCCGGAGTCGTACCCTGAGCTGCCTAAACAGGACACAGTGGAGAGCAGCCTCCTACAGAAGCACGTCCTGGAGCTGGCCACCATGCTGGATGTGCAGAGCCTTTTTTGGGATGATTCACTGGAAGCCTACTAACATCTTTGCAAAGGGCACAATGGCACATGTGTACATAGAGACTCAGCTGCCAGAGCCCTCAGCTGTCCTTCTGTTTTTTTTTTTTTTGTTTTTTTTTTGTTTTTTTACAGGTAATGACATAATTGATTCAGCACATACAAGTTCACGTCCTGCATTTAACTGTTACTTGTGGAAGCAAATGTAGTGCAGCCAGAGAGGTCAAGTGTCAGTGTAAATTCCCTCTTTTGAGTCTCAGCGGCTTCACTCATTGATATAAGATCATATAAGAAGAAGTCCCCATCCAAACTGCAGCCTGTGACTTTATCCCTCATGTCAGACAGTTGTAAAGACGTTAATGTTGGTTGTGTGTTTAGTTTTTTCAATAATATTTTTAATTGTTGATCAGAGTGAAGGTTGTGATGCAGAGCAGGCAGATGAATGAAACCTGCATCAGTAAATATTTACACACTGAGCTGGAATCTGGAAGATTTCACCATAAATGTTAGAGCTGGATCTTTGTTTGTTTGCTGTGTAACAGCTTCTCTTGTAGCAGGCTGAGGTGCATGAGGTTTGTTGTGTTGCACATGTTTAGTTGTAAAGATTTCACTCCTCCTTCGTGTCATTTACCAGCAGTCCGTCGTCCACGGCTTCGGCCTTGTGCCTGTTGAAAGTGGTGTTTGTTTCTTTTCCATATCTGCATGCGAACGGGCAAAAAAAAACAAAAAAACAAATCCATGTAGTTGTTTTATTCACAAAGAGCGGCCTCCACCTGTGAGGATGGAAAACGGGTTGTAGATTTTAAAATGGAGCCAGTGCATGTGTTGCATGGGCCTGTACATTTACTGTTGAGTTGACAAATGAAGACAATCTAGTGAAGAGATAACAGGAGGAGACGTGTAGTAAGCACACCAACTGAAATGAGCCAGCACGCCTCTGTGAGCTCCATGATGACAGGAGCGTCATGTGACCTGCCAGCTGTCAGCTTGATTGGAAAATCATTGGCTAGCTTCCTTATGAACACCAGTAATGTCACTGTCCACCACTGATCCACGGCTTCAGGCTCTCAGGTGCCGCCTCCCGGTAGCTGTCAGCTACTGGACCCGCAAAGAGAGACAGGACGACTGGGAGGAGCGGAGGGAGGATGAACCAGCAGCAACCACCATGCTAACTTTAGCTGCTGAGAACAGAGACCGTGACCTCTGTGGAGCCTTCTCACTTTTGATCAGTTATGAAGCCCAAATAGATAGTTTTTCATCAGCTGATTGTAACTGTGTCTGTTTGGGGTGGAACTGTCCATTAACCTGGACGTTTCCTCCGGTGTCATAATGTCACTGTGTTTTAATGCAGCTGAATTCACCACAGTTGTTGACCTTTATAATAAGTGATGACAGAGGAGGCTAGAAGCAACAAGTCATCTGTCTCTATCCAGATTATTGACAAATGTGTGTTTAAACATTTAAAACATGAAAGAACGTCGGCAGCTTTATGATAACCGTGGCTGCTGAGGAACACACGCTCCTCCTCTGAGACGTTTCCTGGATGCTGCGTACTCTCAGCAGGACGTCATCCACTGTTTGAGAAAGAAACTGCAGCTGCTTCCTGCCAGCTGCTGCTTGAACGCAACAACTCATGAGATTTTAAAATGAAAACCTATTTGTTGGCACTTAAAATGTTCTGTTTTCATTGAGGTGTGACGTGGATCACAGGAAACGTCATGTCATCCAAACTGATTCTACCAACGGCCTCAAACCAGGCAGCCACCTGAGGAACACTTCCCATGATTCCCAGGGTGCTACTCTGGCCCCGAGACCTACTGTATATCATCATCCATCCCTCTCTCTCCCAGTCGCTTCTGTCTCCACTGCCAGAGCTGAAAAAGGATCATCCAAACAGTCCGAATAAATGAAGGATCAGATTATAAAACACAGTCCAGGTACTTTTTCATTCACGTCATGTTTCTGTTGGACTTTGGTTCTGCAGTAGTAACTCAGTAGAGTTCAGTAGAGTTCAGTAGTCTGCTGTCAGACTGGTGCCAGGATTAAATCCCTCATGCCGTCTCACACTACAGTCATTTCTCTCTGTTACTGAAGAAGACGAATACTTGGTGACTGAAGTGTTCGTGGGAACAATGGTGGAACAGTGGCTAAATCAACTGTGTGCAAATAACATTTAAACAGTAATGTTATAGTTTTTTACATTTCAGTTTCCAGAATCTAACAAACTACAGATTGTGTAGTTTCTTTCAGATCAGATCAGGTGTGTAGGACGGGCAGTTATAGGCACCACTGTAACCTCCATTTTTGTCCCACAAGCTGAAGAGAGATGTCAGTGTCTGTCAGTCTCCGTCCAACATGTCGACCCTCAGACAGATATTTCAGCAAGTATGAAGGAAATATGTTGACTTACTTAAAATGAGATTCCTTCAGATTTGGATACATGGAACAGTATCGAAACAAGGTGTCTCCACATCTATTCACCACATTTCCAAACACCTTCTCCAGACAATATATTTTCTAGATGACACCTGGACCTTTCCCACAATGCCGTTCTTAGGCCAAAATGTTAGTTATGAAAACAGCTGGACATCAAACCGATTCAGAGGCGGATTCATCCACATTTGGTGCTGTAGTGTGTTTGTGGCAGCAGGACGGTGTGTTGAAGGTGATGAAGGAACATGTGACCCAGTGCAACAGTGACACTCACTGATGTGTTTTTAATAGTTTTTAGAAACTATGGAGCTCTGAGACTCAGAGGAAGAGGAGATATCAGGGTCTGATACACACACAGTCCTCATCAGGAGGAGACGTAAGAAAAATAAACGTCGCCTGCGAACTGGACATTTTAGCCTCGCCTCTGATGAGGGTCTTAGAGCAGCTAAAAGCTAAACCATCACTATGTAATATCCTTTAGTCCAGCTCAGCTGAGGATGCGAGGGTTTTATATGTTTTGAATTTTGCCCCACATCCTGACACACGCAGGATGTGGGGCTGTTATAATAAGTCAGGATCTTTATGAGGTGTTGCTGCAGGGGATTTATTCCTGGCACCAGTGAGGGAGTACAGGTCACTGTAGTGACGCTGACTCTGAAACCAGCTCAGTTAACTGCCCCCGACCCAAATGTAGAGACGATGCAGGAAGAAGCTGAGGCGGCTGGATGAGATTAAGATTTCTGAGCTGATGGAAGAACACCACTGCGGTGTTTGTTATATTTATTGACATTGTTAGAGAACGTGTACAGATGATGTAAAGCAACGTTTCTGCACAGATGTGTGTGCTCTGTATTAAGTAAAGTGTGGGATGACATGAAGTTGAAGTTGAGGAGGAGCAACATGTGAATGAGGCCGGTTTGTTCTCTGGCCGTTTTTCTAAAGACGTTACATTCCAACTTCCTGAGGACGTGAAGAGCAGCAGAGGAAAACAGCTGTTTTCTCCATTTCACATCTGTTTGGGACAGTGAGCCATTTCTACACTTTCTTCTATTTTCACTGTAAAATCAGCCTCCACGTTTCCGTTGTGTTGACAGTTCTGACGATTAAGATATTGTGGGCTTGTACTTTATGAAGTTTAATATTGTTATGATCATGTTTGTTGTGCTTTAGGGGAAAAAGAGACAAATCCCTGCGTGTTATTGTTCCTCATGCCGGCTGAACTGTAGAAACTCTTCATCTGTCACTGCTTCACTTTCTAACAGCTTCTGCCTGAAACGTGTCAGACATGTCGGCTGATTCTAAACAGTGTTGAAGAGGCAGCAATAACATGTCGGTGAACATGTGTGACAGAATGATCAATCCTGCTGTTTTACAGCCTGTGGTGCTTTCAGTGCAACACCAGTCATGATTTTTTACTTTCCAAAGGAACCAACTAAACTTTTTTACATGTTTGGACGCTGATTAGGACAGAAGAAGAAGACGTGAAGAAATTTATTCATTTTAATTGTCAAATATTGCATGTTGGCAAGTTTGTACATTAAGTCTCAAAACCTCATGTTTATATGTTATAACATGTTGTATGGTGTGTTCCCTGATCTCAGACTCCATGAAAAAAAGCAAATATTGTGTCCTAATGGCACAAATAAGCATCAGCTACAGGAAAATAACCACCGTTATAAGTCTACCTATAAAAAGAAACCAATAAACGGCATAACTAACTAGCTTCTCTTCAGACCTTTGCTGTATTGATGTCTTCTGTGCTTTACATTTAAAACTCGGCCATGAATTCAACCACTTCATTCATCAGGTAGCATCAGTGGGACCATTAGTGCAAAAAAGTACCAGTTGAATTTGCTTGTATTCTGTCACAAATAGGATTGTTCATTGTATCAGTGTGTGTTTGTTTTTTTATTTTATATTTTCAGTTTTATATAAACTACCCAGCAGCACATGGAGCATGAACTGATTCTGTGTGATGCAAATGGAAATTCAGGCTTCACATGATTTGATGGGTGTATCAGAGTAGCCCCTTAAAGGTGCTATTTGTAAGTTTTCAACGTTAGCATTAGCAGCTGTTTACTTACCAGTCCAGAAGAAATGTTGTGAGTTCAGCATCAAACTTCTTTCCGTTACTCACCAACAGCTGTCTCCAGAGGTGGAAACAAACACCAATGTTAACTCTTTTCTTCTACTGAAGTTAGCATGCTAACCAGCTAGCTCTGGCCCATCTCCGATAACGAATTCACTGTAGCCTCCAGTCTGTCCTGAAAACAATGATCCCTGAAGCTCTTGTCAAGGGACAGTCACCACCACCTGCTCCTAACAAGAAACCACATTCAGCAGCAGAGAAAACTTACAGATAGCCCCTTTAAGCCTTTAAGTGATTGGTTCTTTTTATCACAATGATTAATTCTGTGTAAACATAACAACTCATACAAACAAGATATTAATTTGTGCACACATGATCTTTTTGATAGTGTGTTTGAAGTGATCAGATCTTAGAATCTGTGGCTGATCTATACGATCATGCAGAGTTCATACTGGACTCATTGATTATAAAGCCTTATGCAGGGTGGACACTGTGACAAAGCCAAGAGAAAACCCCTCTTAAACAACATAAGACTTTCCTTTCTCTTCTGCTCTCATTGCCTTTTGTGATAATGATACAGACGGTGACAAACTAAAGGACAAACCATCATTAAGAGTCTGAGTCAGGTGTTGATCCTCCAGAACAGCTTCACTGCTCCAAGTCTGTGAACTCTACTGGAGGATGAACCATTCCTCATAAACATATTCCCTCATGTGGTGTTTAGATGAAGATGATGGTGGAGAGCGCTTGTCTTGTTTTCATGTATTTGCTCTTCATTTATTTGGGGTTTTTTTCCTGTAAAGTGGCCTTGGGTACCTTGAAAGGCGCTATAAAAGTCTGAGTTATTATTATTATTATTATTATTATTATTATTATTATTATTAACACGCCACTCCAACATCTCCCACAGTTCAACTGGACTGAGATCTGGAGACTGAAGGTCACAGCATGTGATTCACATCATCTTCATCCTCATTAGACCATCAGTGACCCCTGTGACCTGTGGATGGAGACACTGTCATCCATTTACTCTGTTTTTCCTTTAATTTGTCACCAACTGTTGTTTGCAAACCACTGATTGTTCAGAGGTATATGTGACTTGTGTCTTATAATCTGATTTAGTATCAAATTCCCTGTTGGATCCTAGATAAACAGATGATGTGAGAAATTTCAAGGTTCTTTCCAGGAACAACGAAGATGTTTTTCAGCAGAAAATGTTTCTGCTACTTAAAACATGTTCAGTAAATGACAGATTTTTACCACAGAATCAATGGTTTGTTTTCTAAAGCTACCACTCTGCACTTCTGTCCAACGTTCCTATGGAGAAAGTTCATAGAAAATACGAAACCAACACTGACATGACGGTCAGAGAAAACAGCCACTGGGCAGATTTGATGGCCGGTCGTTGTGGCAGGATCCAAATCAGTGCTCACCCTGTATAACCACTGTTAGAATCCACCAGAGCACATAAAATAAACTTGTTTTTAAGCACAAAGGCCACTGCTCCATATAAGGGAACCACATCCATGGAGAGGCACGTCCATCACATCACAGATAACTGCCAACTGATCGACCCTGTTTTCTCACCCAGATACACAAGGGTCATTTCTATCTTTTTATACCTGTAAAAATGTCTAAAGGTTGGGTGCAGCCCTCCTTTATAGCAACATGTGTGACTTGCTTGTTGTGAATTTTAGTTCGAGTCAATCTGTCAAATGTATTTTCAGTATTTAAGTTTAAAAAAAAAAAAATTGCACAGATGATTATCTCTGTAAGCAGCATGTTTGTTTAGAATAGAAAGTGCCAAAGACTGTTGTACTGTCACTTTCCCATCTTAACAATGATTGAGATCAATTATTGTATCAGATGTTTTTTTTCTGTGTGTTGCCAGATGGAGCCAATAAAGAAAAAGAAAGTTCGGCTTCATAAAAGGACCAATACGTGTTTTTATTGAGGGACTGGGAGGGACTGCAAGACAAGTTTAAAAACACAAAGATTGATAGTGTACTTTCATCATCAACTTTATTTGTGTTTGTATTTGTCTTAGATAATTTGCCAGAACATGAATGTACAGATTTGCCAACTGTATCTGTTTTATTCATCTTTATAGGGAGCCATATTTGTAGTTTTTATGGAATATGGATGATATGGAATCATAGTGCTCACAGCCCTCCAGTGGTCAACCTGAGGAACTACAACTCCATGTTCTATGAGACTGATACAGACACTATTCACTGACACACATGACCTTCACTATTATTTATTTTATTATTAGTGATACTTGTTCTGGTATTAGTGTCAATGTTAATATCTAATTAAGTTAATTCATAATATGCATGTACCATGTATACAGCTGAGCCACATAACACAGCTGCCTCGATTTTTTGTCCACTCATATTTACATATAGTTCAGGTCATTTGTTCATGTTTTGATAAAAGAATTAAACTTGTACAGTTTGGGGCCCTGAACATTTTCCAAAATGGAGTCATCGCAAAATTTCCTCATGGCAGCCATTTTCCTTGCAGCCATAACTGAATTATGTTTTTTTTTTTTTTTTTTTTATCACATCTCTTGAACCAAACATGATCACACAGAAAAGGTGACGTCTACCTCCATGTTTCAGTGGTCGAGGATTACAATGATACCGCACACAACATCAAAAACTGTTCAGGTGAATAGTTCATTATTTTGTAAGAAGGAATCTGTATCTCATGTTGTGCAGAGTTGTAAAAACCTGACATTACAGTGACTGTAAAGAGCAGAACAATATTCAACATGACTTTAACTACTTAGCTTAAAAAACTGTCAAACACAAAGATTTACTCCAAAACATTTATTTCAGAAACACATTTGTTTTGCTGTTGATGTTGAACCTTCTCTCCACTGTCTTCTTCACTGTTTCTCCACATTGACACAGAACTGTGCACTTATAACAGGCTGTTTTGCTTTAGCAGTGCCCCCCCATCAGCTTCTCTTGCAGACACAACCTAAGAGGTCAGGGATGGGCTGGCTTGTCTGTGGAAGAGTTGACACAGTGGTCTCCAGTAGCTTGGGCCCATCCAACCCCAGTCAGTTAGAGATGGAACATTTGGTGCCACTTCAGGTGCTTGTCCCCAACAGTGTCCTATTGGTCCACTGCTCTTTTGAGGTACTGCACCAGTGCATTGTTTGTTTGCTCCATTCCTCTTCCTTTCTCTGTGAACAACTTAAGACAAACTCGATTGATGTTGATACGATCAAAGAACATTCATTCTGGAGCCTTTGACGTACATTATATTTCCATTTTACATGTTCTTTGATCACATTGCACCTTGACTCCTCAGTTTTCACACTTCAGTTACAAGAGATATAGAACCTAACATGACTGATATTAACAAATTTGATGCAATCATGGTTTCTGGTTCATACAATCATGGTTTCTGTGATACTGATGTTTAATTTGTAAAATATAAACCTTTCTTTTTGTTTGTATTTTACATTCTGGCCGATAGGTGTCGCTCTGTTGACATGAAGCATCAGAAATGAACCTTTGTTGGGATAGTTAGCATAAAGCTTTATCTCACCATCACTAACTACTTCTCCTCTCTGACAATGTGATAATGTCTCTTCCCATTAATAACTTTAAACCATGCGTTAACAGAGTCCGTTACTAACCGGTGTTGAACATTGAGAGCCAGTCCTGCCGTAGATTCTTTGGTAGAGAGCAGAGATTTCCGAGTTTGCCTTCGTCTTGAATGCAGCACAAGTCGGTCAGAAACCAAGCAGGACCGGTTTGCTCTGATTCTGCGCAGGAGGCCCAGCTCATCTCTAACAAGCCTCCACAGCCTGTTGAGTTTAGTGCGTTGCTAAGGAACGTAACATAGTGTCGACTTTGGTCCAATCACTGTTGGAGAAAAAGGTCATGTGCTTTAAACTGACCAACCGGAGCGAAGGTAGCGTCACTACCTGATAAAGTTTATCCAAGCTGCTGCTCCAACAGTCTTTTATATGAACCTACTTATTTTAACCACCAGCCAACAAACGCTGTTCCGCAAATGAAAGATATTTTCAAGTCTTGACGAGCTCATTCTGGTTTCTCATATGGTAAGGAGAATATGTCAGTGAATTGTACAGAGGCTGGTTAGGATGCTGTCTGGGTTAGCTAATAAGCTAAGGCTAATGTCAGGCTCATGTATACTTTTTGCTAAGATCCGCTGCCCTTGATTATTTCTTTTAACATTGACACACCCTCCGTAACTATCTGAAAATATTACCGTTACATGTGTTTTAGTTAGGAATTCATAGCTGTGATTACTTGTGTAGACTGTAGCAACGTAACTTGTTTTTATTGTAAATTGGATTAGCTTGTGTTCGCTACTAAATATATTTTTTAATTAATATAGTCCACAATAGTCTATTCTAATGAAATGAAAACGGTCCAAAATAGCTTAGTGGTATATATAAAACTCACTTTAAATCCCCCAAAATAGTATTGATTAGCATTGTCCCTGTTTGGCATTATAGTTACATATTTATCTTGCAGATATAGAGGAGACTGGGGACGGTTGCAACACTTTTTTTATTTCTCTCAGTTACTCCGAGACTATTTGTTCTAGACCAACTAAACTTTTATATATTAAACTTACATCTGTCTGATAATTACCCATAGCATTTAAAGATGAGTACATATGACATATGATTCATATATTTATTTGAATGGAAGACTTCAGATGTTGCAGCTGACCCCAACCCTAGGGATGGTCGCAACGAAGATCAGGGACGTTTGCAACATATAAAAAATACGTTAAATTTCACTGATTAACCCTTTGCTTTTTGTCTCAATAAGCACATATTTCTGAAAGTATGCATTGTTTGAAAATAAATTTATAGTATTAATAATAATATTTATCAAAAAACAATTACTGAGTTTTGTTTTGCATAGAACACAGACCTAACTTGACCATGAGAGGCTGACAAAATAATTCCCAAACTAAATTGTTTGTATTCTCTGTTTCTGTGGGACAAAATTAACTGCATATTTTTCCTATTTGGAACTAAAATGTTGAAAACACTGTTGGTTGCAGCTGTCTCCCCTTGCCCACTTACTGTTGTACACAGAAGTGTTTTGACTCTACAAAGAAGAGTTGAAACATGGTGCAATCAAATGAATCTTAAATTTCCCATCATGTTTTCCCTTCTCCTCAGAGTATTATTATTTTTTAACTATACTTATTGACAATTTGTTCAAGTATAGCAGCATCTTACAACGTACAGCACTCACAAACCCCAACACACGCACACACCCATGCCCAAACTTACATAAAGCAAGAACCCCAAAAAAGCCTTGTGCACCACAAAATTGACAGTTAGCAATTTGCACTGTCCCTTCTTGACTTCCATTTAGTTATTTGCAGTTGCTCATCACTTTCAATATGACGCAAAAGGCAAGTACTTCAGATTGTTCCAGAAGGGGTATATCACCACATGCTTTCCAGGTGTGTGTCATCTGTAACTGACAATATTTGAACTTAATCAATACCAATTACAGTATAAATACAATAAAAATTCTCTTCTTGTTTATTCAAAGAGAGTGTAATTTTCTGTAGTTTCAAATGTTTCTCTGCTGTACTTTCTGATGTGTAAATTTGTTGGAGATACTCATCACCCACTGTTTCACAGAGGAAAACAATGAGAACCCGGTCAAGTTCACCTCCGATTCATGTGCACGTCAATGACTCCACACCGGTCCACGTGCATGTAAAGAGCCACAGGACGAGTCCTGTCAGAACACCTAAGGTTAGAGCTGGACTTTACTTAAACTTTGACCGTCAGTCATAGTGACATTTCTCATTTTTCTGTATTCAGTTTCAATGTTGTTATTATGCAGCATATGTCCTGACAGACAGCATTGTCATGCTTCTGCACACACTGTTTTTCAAAGGGGAAGACCAAGGTGGACAAAGGAAACCTCCGTCCTACAGCCAATGTCAAAACTCGAGTGCCATGGATTCCACCTGGAAAGGCCTCCACACGGGATGCCTCGTACAAGTGGGAGGTAACGCACCTCAGCATTGTGAAAGGGCTTTGTCAGTCAAAGATGTAGTGTTACTCATGGTGTCATTTGCACCAAGGGTCCGATGCACCGCCTTGAGATCACACCGCCGCTCCCCGAACCAGAACCTGAACATTCCCACTCCGCGCTGCTATTGGCTGACCTCACGTCAGAGGAAGAGGAAGGGCTACACGGACGAATCAGCCAGTATGAGAGGAAGATTGACAGCTTACTGACTGAAGTCAGCTCTCTAAAGAATGAGGTCAGTTTCTCCTGTTTCCACAGTGGACTGATCAGTTCTGAAGTCCTTCACTTATCAAGCTCTACCGGGCTTAAATCCAGAACCAGGCTGGACGTTATAACTGATATTTACTGTCTTTTTATTGTGTCCTTATTGATGCTGGTTTGTAAGAATATCATGATTTTAGGCATTTTGTTTGTACTATTATCATCATTATTTATATTATTATTTGTACAAAGTTATGAATTGCTTTACTTTTGGGTCCTGCATCAAATGCACAATGTCTTACAATTTTTTTTTTTATTCTTTATTTTGGGGCAGCAGTTTATATCACAAACCATACATCAGGAAAAGGCACTTTACTCCTATGTCAGCAACAGTTTTTCAAAATGTAAGAACTTTGTACACTTTGGGAGAGGTAAAGTGTGCACACAGGAACAATGGAATCTATGTCTGAGGAGGATCTGGAAGAAAATATAATAAAACTAAATAAGATACACTAAACAATTAGAGTAGAATAACATTTCAGGGTCAGTCATTCAATTCCTCACCCGTTTCAGAGGCAGTTTGCTCAGTGGAGCGTGATGGCAATAGAGTTGGGAACAAAACGTAGACAAAACCCAAACATAAGCAAAAACCAAGTGAGTTGTGTATGAGAAGAGAAATCAACAACAGCTTCAACCTTAGCTGTTCTAGGTGACCCCCCCCCGCCCCCCACCCCCCGTCCCATACGTGTCAGTTTTACAGTTACAAATACACCATGTTGTTGTCGTTGGCTGGAGTCAAGGTGCACATAGATCGATGAGCTTTCCTGGTAGAATCTAGATGTCCAGACTTCAACACACTGTCAGAGTCCAGATCTCTGCACAGGTCAGTTCCATCAGCAGCGACTGAAATCTGAAGTCCTGTCTCATTACATGTTTTATCCCCCCACAGCCCAGCACCCTCACACAAAGGATGTGGTGATGATGTTGACATGTCAGAGTTTGTATCGCCTCAGTAACAAATCATTTGTGTCTGTCCGCACATGTGTTTGCACATCTGTACCACATGTGTGCAGGTGGAGCTGCGGAAGAGGGAGCAGCTGCTGGAGCGTCAGTCGGAGCGGCTGAGCGTCTCCCAGCGGGTGATTGCAGAGCAGGAGGAGGAGCTGGCTGAGGTGACCAAGGAGCTGGAGGAGACTGAGCGGGAGAACACGCGACTACGACAGTCCATGGAGAAGATGATGGAGGAGACCGACTACAGCAGGCAGGCATCACACCACACACTGTCACAGTGATTTCCCTGTGAGAGGCTGGCCTTGTATCACTTGTTTAAGTGGTGGCAGATGTTTTAAGCATGATGTGTTTGTTTGTGTAGGCAAGCATTCTTCCATCATGTAGCCCTGAGACCTCTGGGGCTCAGATTCTGTCTTTGGTCCCAGTCCTCAGATTAGAACCAGATATGTGTCACTCTGAGGATTCTAGTCCAGGGGCCAGATTCATAAATGATGCATACACACAAAAATCATGTGTAAGCCGCACGTAAATTTTATATTTATAAACACAGGATGTGTCACCTCACACATCCCTTCACCATGTGTACACACGGTTCTCCAAAGTGATCCAAGTTACAGTGAAGTGAAAATACAGAACAAGCCATGACACGTAATTTAACATAAAACAGAATAACCAACTTCACAGAGCTTCATTCATTATCATCATAGTTTTCCAATAACAATTTTACAATTCATAAACAGAAATAATTGTGAGTCATTCTGTAACCTTTTTCATACTTTTTTAATATTTGCTAATCACAGAGTTAGAGCCTCCGGAGCCTCATTAAGACTCTCTAGTCCCAATGGATGAAGTTCAGAGTAAAACAGGACTTAACATTAGAGTGATTGTACTAAAGTAAATTGAGTGTGTCTGCTTCCCATCTGCCAGAGCCTCAAACTTGTGGTGCAAACTGATTAAGGGAGCGTCTTCCTCCATTCATGGCCAATTGTGCTGGTGGAAATGAGGCTCGTGCACATGCGCCCAATTTCTCAGTGAGGGAGATTTATAAAGTGGAACCATGCTCCAGAGTTTTATGCATCTGGCCCCAGTTGGAACTGACTTCCTCCTCTGAGACAATGGATATAACAATGATCTTTAAGACAGACTCAGTGGCAGATAGTAAGAATGTCAGAGCCATGCTTGCTTTGTTTTAGCCATGTTTTTGGGATAGATTTTATACCTGGGATGCAGAGCAGAGTAGAATCATGAGTAAATCCAGGGTTAAAATGTTGAAGATAACAAACAGCTGCTCTGGCTGATGTAGAAGGTCAGAAATGAGATTCTGATTTTCTGATCTGATTTTGTTGCTCTTCTTCTGACATTATCTCTGTAGAATCTCAACATCAAAACTAAAAACTAAAGCAAAAACTAAAAAGTAAGACAAAATGAGTTCATGTTAATCTGGACTTTTGTCCCTGTCTCGTCCTTGCAGACTAGACAGAGACAGTGTGCAGCCAGACAAAGATGCTCTGCTCAGGAAGCTGATGGAGGCTGAGGTGGACGGAACAGCAGCTGCCAAGGAAATGTCAGCCCTGCGAGAGTCTGTTTCTAAACTGTGCAGTGCCAGTGTCAGTGTGAGTATCTACAAACCTGGGAATAGCTGCAGCTCCTAAGTGGTTCTCTCCTGTGGCCCTGTGCAACAGACACTGCAGACTTCTTTCATTGGCTTTGTGCCAGCAGTATTAGTATGTGCGTAAGTGTGACACTTAATATAATCCAACACTATAAAACATCACACAGATACAGTATGTATCAACTTCATGTAAATACACAAGTCCTGTTCAATTCAAATTAATTCTTCAACCTTCAACCATTAAACATTTATTAGATTATTAAGCTATGTCTTGAATGTTTCCTCTGATAGTAATAAAAACATTATGAATCATGATGACGGTTCGTATCCACCTTAATCCCTGCCCCTATAAACACTTATAATTGATAACAGTTGAAGGGTGTAGACTCATGTATCGTCTTTGTAGGAACAATGTCGCTGCAGAGTTGGGCTGAAAAAAAAATGATGTCATTATTTTGGCAGATATTGCAATTGCGATATGAGTCACGCCCTGATAGTTTGCTGTCATGGTGACATTCTCTGGAGCAAAGAAGAGCTCATTTAGTTTTCATAAATACATAACAGTGTTATATGATGAATTCAGTGATTTGTCAGAAACTGTTTCATTGATGAACCAGTGTCTCTGCTCCTTTGTGTCTCCTCTGTTTGCTGGACAGAGACTGTCTGGTTCTGAGTCCTCTGTCTTGGCCCGTCAGAAGGAGCTGTTGCTACAGAAACTGGAGACGTTTGAGGCCACAAACCGAACCCTGCGGAACCTTCTCAGAGAGCAACATGGATCCCAGGTACTTCACTGTCTACTGTCTACGATACATCTACATCTGTTACTACACCAGGGAGTCTTATGTTCACGTCTTGAACAGGATACACAGGGAACACTCTGGTCTGTTGGATGTGTGATGCCACCTGATTAATTTCTGTTGTATATTTTCTGTAATCAGCCACTAATGCCCAGATCTGAGTGCATGTCTGACACTGTGGGTCATATTGTTGCCTAATTAACTTTCCAGTCTTTCCTAGTAACATTTCTGGGAGAAACCAGACAAAATAACATCACTTAAATGTGTTATTATCAAAACACATAATGCAGTTTAGATTAAAATTAAATGATCACAAACACAGCCCATCCCCTGCCCATATGCTGTTACAAAATATCCACATATTCATTAATACTTCTAGCTCTAGTTAGATGGGTGTAATTATAGACCTGTTTTTATTACCTTATTTGTTTTTGGCTGGACCGCAACAGTGGGGCCAGCCCTATAATCGTGAATGTTGCTGACTGACTGACTGATGATATTTCCACCACTGGTCAGTGGAGTGTTGTGCCGCAGTCTACCGAGTCTACCGAGAAGAGGAGGAGCACTTCCAATACACTGAGCCTTGCCTGCACTTCCAATACACTGAGCCTTGCCTCCATTACAGCAAATAAACTACTTTGATTACATATATCATTATTTACTAAAAGAGGGAAGTCCGGCCTGTGGCCCTTTGCGTGTTTTCTGCTCTCCCTCTCTCTCTCTCTTTCTCTCTCTCTCTGTCTCTCTCTCTCCCTCTCTCTCTTCCTCTCTTTCTCTCTCTCTCTCACTATGACTGTAATAAAGGCAAAAGCCTGAAGAAATAACTTAAAAATAAGAAAGATATTGTGTCTCTTCTACCTTTCTCTCTGGGTGATCATGTTACAGTTAATACAGTTGAAATCACAGTTCAGTCTTTGTCTTTCATTTATATGTTTGGTGATTTTGTCAGACAGATCAACTTTATTTGGGTGATCCTCCCTTAAATTGCCAGTTTGATAAGTAAAGGTCATGTACAGAACATGTCAGAGGCTTTAAATCTTGTAGGAGTGTGTTTATTTACAGGCTTTAAACATTTAGGCTAAATTGTCACGGTCAGTTGTAAAAGTCCAGGTGATATATGGACAGAATCTTCTATTATGGGATTTAATATCATGATATCCATGATATGCACAACTTTCTACAGGTTCAGTGACAGAGTGATTTAAATGACAAATCAAGATTCTTCATTACACTGCAAAAATACTAAAGTCAGTTAATTGGATTTCAGCCATTATAAAGCAGTGCTGCTAATTTGCAGTATTACCTGCAATACAATCAGATATATTAAAAAGAAAGTTACCATGGTAACAGTAAAGACATACCATTTCAGCAGCAGTAAACAGTAAATGTTTGAGTTACAAACTTTGATGTGTGTCAGTCGACTGTGTTTGAACAGATGGAGTCGATGCGACTGTCAGAGCAGAAGGACACGTTACTGAAGAGACTCGCAGACACAGAGGCAGAAAATGCTGTGAGTTTAACAGAAGATGATCTCTCTTTTTCATGTGTTGTGTGTTTGTTCCCTCTGTGTTTGAGATACAAAAATAAAGCTCACCTCACTTTTCCTTTTGCAGCATCTTGTGCTGAAACTTCAAGAGAAAGACAAAGAGGTCAATCAGCTGTCCAGACTTTTAGATACTGAGAAGGTACTGAGAGCACAGAATTTTACTGTAGACACTTCCAAATCAAATCAAAACAAAACATTAATGCCTTAATCTTTTAGTAAAATAGGTCAAAGCGTACATATTCTTACTAATGTACATTCTGCTGGTTTGGGGATTTATGCAGGACAACGCTAAGAGTACAGCTGATCTGTCCAAGACCCTGGAGTCAACAAGAGCTCATTTACAGGGACAGCTCCGTAACAAAGAGGCTGAGAACAACCGGCTCACTGTACAGATCAAGGTTTGTCATGGAATCTATTCTAACTACTCGCCATCCTGTGTAATTATCTGTTGTAATTATGTACTTGGTAAATGAAGTCAGAGTGCTTTGTCATCATGGCCACTGCAGTCACGCTCACTGTTGTCTGACCCTCTGCTTTACAAATGGGAAGCACACACAGTGACTCCAGCTGTAATCCCTCCTCCTTCTCATTGGTTCAGAACCTGGAGCGAGCAGCCAATCAGCAGAAGGCAGAGATGGAGCATCTGATGGAGCAGCTGACGAGCCTGAGGCAGGAGGCCAGCGCGGACCGAGAGGCTCTGAAACGAGCTACACGAGCCCAGAAGCAGCGAGCGGAGCGTAGTGAGGTCACTGCAGGACAGTTGAGCATCCAGCTGCTGGACATGGTAGGGACAGACTCCTCGAAAACTGTACAGACACAGGCTGAGGTCAACATCCTCACCAGGTCCTTTTGTCAATAACTAGATTACTGACCATATTAGAAAGAAAGAACTGAACTGCCGTTGGATTCAGTTTATCTTTAAAGAAAGCTCCAAACCCCTTCTCGTCACCCCCACACCCACTTCTCTTCTGCACTGGTGTCTATAACAGAGTCACTGTTTTTTTATTATGTCTCCGTGGCAGCGACAGTGAGAGACAGAGGCATATTGTTTTCGTGTTGTCTGTCCGTCCCATTCTTGTGGACACGATATCTCAGTCACGTCTTGACCAAACTCCTTTAAATTTGGCACCAACATTCACTAGGACTCAAAGATGATTTTGGTGATCCAAGGTCAAATGTCAAGGTCACTGTGATATCACATTCTTGTGAATGCAATATATCAGGAACACCCAGAGGGAGCTTCATCCCTTCTGTCACAGTGACCTCACAATTTTTGGCCATAACTCACAAATTAATTCACTAGTTATGACACAATTTAACTTAAATGTCTATAAGGATAAAGTGAAATGATGGCATTTTATATCTAAAAGGTCAAAGGTCAACTTCACTGTGACATCATAATGTTCTGCAAAAGCACTGTAACTCAAGAAGTGACCATATTTCCTGATACTTGGCTGGTTGGTGGAGGAAACAAGCAGGAGGAGGTGACTCTAGTTTCTCTTTCCAGGAGAAGCAGGTGGCAGACGCCCTGACAGCAGCTGAGACCTGGGAGAGTCGTCACGCACAAGAGGTGAAAGACAAGAGTAAACTGGAGCTCGAGCTGTCACTGTTGAACAGGTACCTCTAACAGCTCCACACACACACACACACACACACACACACACAAGTGTCTCTCTTCGTAATAATCAGAGCACTAACAGTCGTCCTGAGCTGCAGGCAGACCAAAGGTCACCTGGTGACTTTTACCAAAAAGCAGAAAGGGGCAGGAAATACTGTGAGCATGGTTGTAAACATAAATTGCAGGAAGTAACATAGCAGGGTAACAACAGTAATCAACAGCAACCTTTGTCACTTTCCTACAGCCAATCAGCATCTCCTTCTCTCTGCCTCTGCTCTTATTTCACCTTCAGTTATGAAACAAAAAACAAACATTATTTCTTGAATGACAAGTCAGCCCCGCCCCTTCTCACATGCTGTCTGGTCATTGGAGAGCCTCGTGATTTTGAATTCAAACAGAATGAACTCTGGAGCGTAGCAGAGGAGGCGGGTGGGTTCACAACATGTGTGTCTCACTTCCATATAGAAATGAATGGGAAATGATATCCAGTCCAACTGCACCATTAGCCTGCAGCGAGGGAGCAAATGTTGGGCATGTTCTTTAATGAGAAATTACTTAAGCTATTGATTGATTGTCGGGTTTGGTGGAGTACCTGCAGTTATCCATAGAGCAATCTGACTGACAGGAAGTGTTTCTTGGAAAGTATAAAGCATGAAATTGGAACCAAACTGTGGCTTCATTCTAAAAATTCATCAACCAGTGAAAAGCTACAGCTCGTTCTGATTCAACACTCATTATAAATGAAATTATGTAGACACGTGTCCTGTCATACCGTAAACAGCCGTATAGCAGAGCTGACGGAGCAGCTGCAGAGCACAGAGGATAAAGGCAGACTGGAGAGAGAGGCCCTGCTGGATCACCTGCATGGACTGACCACAGAGAGCACTGCTGCCAGACTGGAGAACCAGTCCCTCAAGGTGAAACCAGCAGGACACATTTACTGAATCTGTTCTGCTTCTGTCTCAGATAACGTACTTCCTGTTCCTGTTCAGTTTTCACTTTAATTGACTTACACTGACTTCATTAGATTAGCAGGATGGACTTTCCAGTTAATTACAGTAGTAACTGATGACACTTGATGTAAACCTGTGGGTTCCTGACAGGCCACAGCCTCTGCAGTGGAGGAGAAGCTGGACATGTCTCAGTCTGAGCTTCAGCAGGTCAGAGCTTCCATCAAGCAATATGAGAGTCTGCTGGACAGCTACAAGATCCAGGTATCCAAAGTGTACAGTACCGCTCCGTACAGTACCGTGGACACTGTTAATGTCCATGAAAAGTCTGAACCCAGTTTTACCATCTGTCCTAGGTTGGGAAAACGCGTGTCGAGGCAGATGAGTATGCTGCTCATCTAGCCCAGGCGGAGCGAGAGGCCCAGGTCGTGCAGGGGAAGCTGGAGCAGGAGATAGAGGAGGTGCGCAGGGAGATGCTGGGGCGGCTGGCTGAGCTGGAGCCTCTTCCTGAAGCTCTACGACAGTCTGAACTCCAGCTGCAGGAGGCACAGGACAGGGAGCGCAGCCAGGAGAGACGTAGCGTGGAGCTCAGCACCACCCTGGCTGATCTCCGTATTAAGGTCCTGACAGTCCTGTGCCTGTATGCCAGTTCAAGTCAGCATCACAAAATAAGGCCAAGTCAGTCAAGTGCTTGTTTTATCTCATGTCAGGTGGAGACTCAGGGCAGCCAAATGGAGCTGTTCAGACAGAAGAACAAGGTGCTACTGGAGGAGAACAGACAGCTGCAGCAGCGGGTGGAGAGTCTGGAAAGGTCAGTCCCTCCTGGTTTACTCTCCTGGCTTTGACTCTTTGATCAGGTTTGTCTGACATTGTGCCAATTCATCATTAAAAGTTTGCCTAATGAGTCTTTAGCTGGTCCTGTTTGCAGTGTATCATGGATATACACATAACTATCAGTGGATCACTGTGATACTGAAGAAAAGTTAAAAATGTGATGATTCTCAGACAGGTGGAGTTTAAACTGAGCATCCTCTTCCTTCATTTTTCAGGATGTCACATAAAATCCTTTTTTAAATGAACCAGACTCAGTCCTCTTAAAGGGGACCAACAGAAAAGGGACTCTGTTTTTTTTTGTGTTCACATTGTGAGTTGATTTAAAAGAATGGTTAGGGTCCACTTCAGCTCTGATGGGGCCTTGGATTATGGGTAGCTGTCACCTGGAACGACATGGCTGTTGTACTTGTCTTATCCACATTCCTGTGGTATTTAGATAAATTCGTAATACAATATAGTATATTGTGTATATTCATATATAATATATATACTGTAGTGTATTACAATACTATTCATTATTATTATAGTATTATGACAGTCACACTTCAGTATGTGACTATTAAATGTAAGTCAGTACAAAAGGCCTACTCTGCATTATCATTAACTTATGTGTTATCATTAACAAACGAGTGTGAACTCAAACTCTTGCTGTCGTTACCAGCGGCTACGGTTCTGTCCGTTTGCCGAAGTGAACCTGCAGCACTTTGTCACAGTGCACAGGTTAAGTGAAGCGAAGCAGAGAGGTCTGAGTTCGTTTGGAGTGTACACATAAGAACAAAAATGCTGTGTCATCGCTCTTGAGTTTGTTCTGAGGTTGGAAGTGTGAAAACAGCCTGAGTGGTTTGATGGAAGTTTATTGAAAGTGGATCAAAGGCAATGTTGCTGTCTCCTCCTTCATATGAAATTGTGTTGAACGACTGCTGGGAGGCCTCCGTTAAACTGTTAGACACCTGCTCTCCATGGTCTCATACAGCTTAACATCATGTTAAAGGTCCAGACCGGCAGACATCTGTCCTAATGCAGACCCTGCTGGTCCTCGATGTAGAGACCAAACTGCAGATCATATGCATGTGTTGTTGTGGTCTTGCCCTGACCCTGTTTAGTTCTGATGGCTGTACAAAGATATTTCAAACTACAGTCAAAGTCTCTCCCAGCTGTCTTTGTGCCATATCTGGATTTATGTCAGAAGCAATGAGCCTATGATTATGGTTGGTCATTGTTGTTGTCTCTGTCTTTTGTCGTCCAGCAGAAAGCTGGAGGAGGCCGTCAGCCAGAACAGCGACCTGCTGGCGGTCATCACCAAACGTGAAGACACCATTCACAGCAACCAGCTCCGTCTGGAGGAGAAGACCAGGGAATGTTCCCAGCTGAGCCGGAAGCTGGAGGAGGCTCTGGACGACGCTCGCCATCAGGTCCGAGCCTCACAACAGCTGGATGCTGCTAAACACTGGTCATACACACTGGAGTGTATTTAAGAATATAGTATAGATCACAGTAGTGCTACATCACAAAACGTTTCACTTATTTCAGTGAGACCTCTGCATTGACACAAGTGGGGTGAAGATGTAGCAGATGCAGAACACCTGCTTAAAATCCAGTGTTAAATGGAAACGTCAGTGTTAAACCTCAGTGTGACTCCTAGGGGCCTCTGCAGCCTGGGTGTGTAGGGATGTGTATAATTAGTCTTGCATGTCTTGCGGTTCATGTTGTCAGGGTTATATCAGTTGTGTACTGTTTAATTAAGTTCAGTGTGTTATATTTATCTCCAGATGTCAGAGACCAGAGAACGAGCTGCCACCAAAGAACGCTCCACCCAGGCCAAGATCCTGGACTTAGAGACCCAACTGAGCAGGACCACCTCAGAAATCAACCAACTGAAACGCAACAAAGAGGAGGTAAAAGCCTCCATTAACAGTTTACTCAAACTTATGTGTGTGTGAATTGTCAGCAGGTGTGTAAGGTGTGTGTTTGTGATACTCAGGTGGAGCGACGATACCAGAGCCGACTGCAGGATGTGAAGGATCGGCTGGAGCAGTCGGACAGCACCAACCGAAGCCTGCAGAACTACGTCCAGTTCCTGAAGGCCTCTTACACCAATGTGTTTGGAGATGTGGCCCTCAGCAGCTCTCTGCGGGCCCCCTCACCCATCTGACAGCCCCTCCAGCAGAGCTGTTTTATACGCACACAGTCCAGACCAGTAGTGTGGCTTTAGATTTTCTAAGAACAGCTGGAGGCTGTGAAGACGACAGTGTCAATCACTCTCTTGTTTCAAACACTGTCAACAAGTCAGATGAAGAGCAACAGTAACCGTGGGGCTTTTTACAATTTAAGACTCGTTCCTGTAAAGATTCATTTACAACAGATTTGATGGACAATCAAATGATTTGAAATGTCTCCAACAGGTGGTATAAAAAAAACGAGTGGCAAACACCAGCTCCAGGGATGTGGATGTTGGAGACAAAGAGAATCAGGATCTTGAAAACTACATGTTCCTGTCCAACGTGCTTATTTTACCAGATGTTTTAATTTGCTAAATGGATTTCTACCCTGTTAATAGGTTAAACAAGAATTTATGAGTTCAGTTTCATACGACAGAGAGGAGATGAGAGGTTCATACATTATTAAGTATAAAGCAATTTATGACATTAATATATTAGATTAGCACGGTGGTAAAGAATGTGCAATGCATAATGAACTGTGTGCAGTCAGCATCACACCTCAAATTTTAATACTGAATTAAATAGACAACAAAAATTCCCATCTGGGATTTTTTCTATGCAAAACTGAAGCACTGAAACAAAGCTGCTGGAGCTCAGAGTTTGGTCCTGAAGACGTTTTGTGGTTTTTCCAATATTTTCTATAATTTCATCAGAATTTCTTGTTTGATCTTCGAGACCAAACATCGACACCAAGTACCCTCATTTTTCCTGAAGCTAATGTTTTTCATCAGTTAGTTTTGACGGTGCCTTGAAGCGTTTCAGACTGAATGTCGTCTTCAGAAATGTGTTATCGGACATTGAAGTGAGTTTGTATTTTCCAGGCCAAAAACAACGGAAAGTGCACATTTTCTTTAGCCTCGTCTAGGTAATATATACCAGAATAAAAGCAGTTATACTGTATATTGTATTTGAACTGTTATATACTAAAACTATTAATTTATTTTTCACATCTATACAACAGCCAGCCATGACACATGATGTGTTTAAATGTGTGTCTGCTCTGTACGGAGCTGAAAACACTGGTGCTACCGCTGTCTTCTGGCTGCTACAAGACGGTGTGGTTTTGTTTTTACACTCTTACTCACACACTGTCAGTAGATGGATAGTTGTTAATAGACTCATGTTTTTTTCTTTAACTGTTTCATGGAGTTTATTTAATAACTGCATCATTTACAGTTTATCTAACTTTAAAGCAACAATATGACAGCAAAACAAAAATATATTTCTTCACCTGAATCAAACTGACTGAGCATTCATGTTGTATGTGTCGTTTTTTTTTTCAGCTGTTATTTGTGTGTTTGTGATGTAGTGTTAAACAGGATACAAGCCAACATAAGACTTTTTAGTGTTAGTCTACTGACATACAGTTAGTGGTTGGGTCTGTGTTTGTCATCCAAATTAACTGTCAATCAGATTATCACACTGTTGTCATAATTTCCCATAGCAGCAGCTGTTCCATTATTTACAGCCTCACCACAATAGTGTATTTCTGTCGTATTCAGCTTAACACGACCAGCCTACAAGATCCCAATACCCTTAAACGACTGTAGAATCATTTTGGAGGATACATATGCACTGTACAGAGGTGTGATCAGATCTGAGAATCTATGCATTTTTAGTTTACATAAGAAAATGACACTTAAAGATGAAAATAATGTTTCTACCAACATGTAACAGCCCGGGCACAGATGATCTGTTGTGGTTGTCAGCTGATAGAGTGGCTGCTGTAGGACTTCTCATAGATAACACTGATGATTAATGGAGACATTATGTAAGAGCTGAAATGGTTTCTATTCATGGTTGTACTTCTCAGTGTTAATGGATAGTCATTGAATTCTGCATCAGCACTGTAGTCTGAGCCTGCAGGGATGGAGCACATGATAATACTGTGCATGAGCAGCTGCTGTTTGTCTTACAGACTCTGTTCCTGTACAGTCAGGAATGGAGTGTATGTCTGAAAAAAAGAGTGCTTTGATTTGAATGTATTGATAATGCAGTCTAAACATGGTGAAGATGACCAGTTCACGAGCACTATTACTGCCAAGCATTGCAGGAACAGCGTCATATGTGTAGAATGAACTGAAGCAACAAATAAACAAGGGCATTCATTGTTTCAAAGGCATATTACAATGTTGTTTCCTATTGGTTTAGAATAGTTGATGATGTGAAAATGTCTGGAATCTTCCATACAATATCTGCTTACCAATAAACTCAGGGAGGCTTCTTTCAAAATCACACAGATATTATCCTGTGAATCAGTATCTTCAGGTTAGAAAAGACATTTGTGTTAACTGTTCATTGTATGAAAAAATGTACTCATGAAACAATGCAACACTTGTTCTGGCTGGAGAGATATATCCTGATATAATGTTGACAACATTGACTTTTTTCCCAACTGGAAAAATGTACTCTTTGGTATCTTCAACAACAATAATAATAAATGTAAAGAATTATGTATATCAATTTGGTGATTGTTGTAGAGAAATTTCATATCCATGAATCCAAATGTAGCCATTCTAAACCTTTGTATATACTATTTCAAACAGTACATTAAAATTATTTTTAACTCAAAAAGTAAGTACCATCTATTTGTTCCTTGATTAATGTTTTTATTTAGATAATTCCCCCTATTTCTAATGTTGTTTTATCTGAGACTTCTATTATCAATAAAGATGATTAATAATTATATTATATTATATTATAAAAAAGTGTTCGCTCAGAGTTTCGGGTACTTCCGTTGTTTATCGGTTTTTTCCGTACAGCTGCAGAGATTACGTCACATTCGGTTAAAAAAAAAAAAAAATTCAGCCATCCCAGAAAGCGACCTCTCATCCTTCGTCGTCGATCCGCCTGGATAACCACCACTTCGTAAGCTCGTTCGAAAACACACAAAGGTACGAGAAATATTAAAAAATACTATATTTGTGTTGAGTTGGTCATTGTAAAAGAGATTAGCTGCACAGTGTGGACGGTGTTTTTCTAGCTATCCGGCTCTGTTCGTCCAATTTGCAGTCCCTGCTAGCCTAACGTTAGCTAACTGCAGCCACTCCTATTGTTGAACCGTATTTACAGCACTGTAGTTAACATACATGCACATAACAGCAGACAGACGTAACAGTTTTCCTCTAAAGCGTCTGACGGTTTGATAAAATCTAAATGCTAACATTAGCCACCCTACCAGATGACATTAGCTTGCATTGGTACCCATTGCCCTGCGTTGCATTCAAACAAAATGGTTGATTTAAACATCCATAAGTCAAGCTAACTGTTATATACCCCGCCTGTAAAGTGCACCTAACGTAATAACATCGCTTGTTAGTTAGTTAAAATGTTCAAGTTAGCGGGGTTGCCCTGAGTTGCTGTCTGCTAGCGTCAGTCAGTTTAAATTAGCAGTAACGTTAATCACATCTGATTTCACCTATTGGTTGACATAGTCACTCTTTCAAAGGTTTGTACACGGTGTGTTTAAAGTCAACGAAACTGTTATCTATATAATACAAAAAAAACTAAGAAGGTTAAGCAGATATCTATATTAGCTTGTCGGCCATGGCAGAGAGGGAGCCGCCCAGTGCAGTTGAATACCTTTGGACATATGGCCCCAGCTGTTCGTCCTCCTATTACCCTGTATGTAATTAAAACGAAGACAGTGTTACCGTTAATAATTCACACCAGCATTGTGCTGAGTGTTCTCAAATGCACGATCAATTAGTCACATTAAATGTCATTAGTTGGCGTTACGCGTTTTTAAGGAGTGGTACAAGCCCATGAAAAGACCCTGCTATGTCCAACAAAGCCTGACACTACAGTCACATAAAGATAGTGTAGTTTGCATAAAGACGGTTGAGGACAGTAAAAGCAGACTCGTGATAAGGTGAAAGCGCTGTCTCACACCTCTGCTACTGACTGTCTCAGCAAATGGATTTGACAGGGTGGTGCCAAGTGCTTCACATACCAACTGCCCCCCTCCCCACTCTGGAGAGGAATTCAGATAGAAGGCCTCAAGATAGTGATTAAAAACTGTCGGAATGAAAAGTTACCCCAGAAACAGTGTAAAGGTTAAAGCTTAAAATGAAATGTGCTATTTCATATCTATACATACATTTGAATGTGTTAAGTGTTACTGACCTGTAATGTGCCATCCTCTTGCTCAATGCCAGTTACTCATCTTGTGGGCATACTGTTTCTTTTAGAAAGAAACATTTGGAACATACGTGTTGTTCATTAGTAGATGGAATTTAACATCAATGTGTTATATATCATCTAAATTTGGCCGTGTACTTTGTAGTTTGAAGCAGTTCTGCATCAGTGAGTGAGTGAGTGAAAACAGTGTATTTAAGATGAGTATAGATTTATCCATCCACCAACACCTGTTACCTGTCCTCATTAGTGTTGCACTGCTGTATAATACTTACATTTTATTCGACCATTATACTCACCTCAAATTAAAGAAGCCCCTGGTCAGTCATATGTGAAATGGCAGAAACAGGGAATAGGTCAGTGTGCATTCACCCAGACATTAATTAATGAGCCTTTTCTAAGGTCAGTAATGTTTAAATAGAAGTTTTTACTACCAATTAGGCTTAAAATTGCAGTAATGATTAATTTGATAAGACAAATATGCAGCATGTATCATATTGTTTGGCAGCACTCTATGTAAACTCCTGGATGATGAAGGTTGTTTGTCCGTCCGTGAGAGCCTCAAGCAGGAGAGCTGCAGTTTGTGTGTTCTTTGCTGGTAATGCAGACGGCATAAGGTGAACGCTGGAGTCTGATGCTGCTGTGATACAGAAACATGGAGGCAAAATGGGACAGCTGTACCACCTAAATTACTTACTACATATTCCTGGAGCAAATTAAGATTAAAATGAGGCAGTGTTCTCCCTCTACCCTGCCTCATTTTAATCTTATGACAGTCACCACTTGAATATATGTCATTCCATTATTTGGGTGAATAGCTAGACTGAGGCAATATGAACTGTATATCAGTTAGCTGTGGTTCCAGGTGTTTAGACCTATCACAACATTTAGTACAATGCATTACATACATTATTGTGGTGTTAGATGTCTCCTGGGGTTATGCATGGTCACATCTGCAGTCATCTGTAATTAACCTTGTTATATTTTGCTGTTGAGTAATACTGATAACTTATACATTTGAACACAGCTGTATAGACCTTGCTTTATGCAATTTCTCTTCTCCAAACTCCCTCTCCACCTATGCAACCTACGGATTGTCTTTTTCCATTGTAACTGTGTGTGACCATGACCCAAATAGAAAATAGGCCTCCTCGTCTCCAGGCTGTCAGATTCGCTATGAGGCCTGCAGATACAGTGCAGCCTGCTAACTCACTGTCATTTCCATGCTGGCCTGAACTACTTTCCACACATTGAGCCTCTGTGTATTGTCTTTCTGCGATTCCTCATTGCATTGACTGCTGAAACATCATCATGATGAATTTCCTGTGAAAGCATCCTCTTATTCTGACTGCTCACTGTGATCAATGATATGCCCTGTAGCCAGCCCACACAGACACACAACATGTCAACCTTTACTAAACCCAAGCTCAAGGTAACAACCATATTTGTGTCACCACTGTGTGTGTGCCTCTGTGTGTTTGCGTGTGCTATTGTGTTTTGAGTTTGTACAGGACAGAAGATTCGAGAGACGTGTAGGCCAGTGGTGGTGTTGTTTTGCTGAGTAAAGGGATGGGAGAGAGCTGGAGGGAGGGGTGGGTGGTGCGGAACAGACGCATGGGCTGGGCTACATCTTGGCTTGCTCTTTTGTACAGCGTAGTCACTGCAGGTGCAATGCGTCTGTCTGTGCTGCTGTAGATGAGACTTTGCTTCCTCAATCACGGTCAGATTGTGGAGGAGTGTACTACAGACGTACACACTGCTGCAGACTATGACTTCGCCACAGATGTAGCCCTCTGATCAACAATAATACAAGAGAACCTGAGGCTCCAGACTAGAAATATCTCATGTGTGTGGTTTGGTTTTGCACTATTTTTCTTCCTGTCAAACTATCAGATCAGATCTGTCAGTATAAAGCTGTGATGTTTAATTTAAGTTGAATGTCACAGGGATTTGGTAAGTGGCTGCTGATCTGAACTGTGCATGCGTTTGCCTGTTTCTGTTGATATACTGCTGGGAGTCGTTTCATACTGTCTGTATGCAGTTGAGTTTTACTGCATGGCTTTTTTTGATGTGATGGTCTTTGCATGAAGATAAAGTGTGGTCCTATCTTAAAATGAAATAGACTCAGGTATCTTAACTAAATACCTTCAGAAAACATTGAAATTAGTTTGTATACTCCTTGCTGTTTGCTAGTTATGAGCCTGACTGGAGCAGTGAAAGACTAGCTTGACTGGACATGAGGTCCTGTTAGACTGCTCTCTGCTCTCATTAGTGTTTTCTTTTTTAATGTATTTAAATTACTAAAATTTCTGATATGGATTTTATATTTGTTAGCACTTGCAGTTGGTTGCTAAAAACTACGAACTGCTAAAGGATTGCTGAGTAACTATGGTTCCTTCAAATTCCAGATTTTTCCATCAGTAATTATTGTGAACTCATACGTCACATATATTGGCCTTGTATGTCTAAAGAAGAATTCCTCAGATGCTCAGTTCAGTTTGAGGAAAAGGAAAAGAGGTGTTGTTGTTGTTGTTGTTATGTCATGGTTCTCATCCTCTCTCCTCTGTCAGGGAAATAGACTCGCCTAGTCTCATGAGACTCACCCATTTCCTGCTAATTCTGTTAGCTTCCATCCTCCGAGTATGGCGTCAGTATGACCCCTGTTCATAACAGATGGTTCGCCATAGTAACTGGGAGTTTCTAAGTGAATGACTTCATCCATTTCCTCTGTGCAACTTTGATTATAACAGAGAACTTAGGGAAGGTCATTGAAGTCTGCTGTTTTCTCTGAGACTGAGTCTAATGTGAGCGTGTAGCCTTCCTTGACAGTACCAACAACCACAGGTCGTTTACACATTCTGTACTTGGCTAACAAGCTTCTATTTATTTAATACAGTTCTATGTTTAACAGGATTTGAGGTCATCCTCTTGAAGTCCACGTGCGTTGATAACTTCTGACTTCATCAATAACCAGGTCTATCGAGGACAGGCAGTGAAATTTATCCTTTGGTTCAGATGAACCTCCTCTGACCCGCAGACCTGCTCTCAGCTGTTGTTGGTTATTTGGATCAGTAGCAGTTTGTTGTAAATGTAGCAGGTAGTTGAGAGGGGTTAGATTATTGTTTCCAACAGGAAGGATGCATGGACCTTGTTAGAGGCTTTCCAATGGATAACTCCTGTGTTATATGGAGAATCACTTTAATAGAGAGAATCGATAGCTGTTGCTCTCCATTCATCCACCCATGATGTCCACTCATGTCTTTTATCGCCTCTCAGCACTTAAATGCAGCTTTGGCATGTACAATGTCTCTAAAAATATAAACTGGTCTGTCTTGCGATGATACAGATTTTTCTGACAGTTGATCAAA